AGTCTAGCCGCTGCCTGCCGGATTGGCATGGTAGACTTGAAGACCCGGTCCAGATATTCGGCACAGAGCTGTCGCACCAGGACAGTTTGGAAGGATTGCCTTTTGAGAGCAAAGTGATGCTCCCGTTGCAGTTCCTCCGGCGGAGTCCAGGCGGGGTAGATAGCAGGGCCTGATGGAGCATCATCATCGCTGGCAGGAGAAGCCATATGTTGATCATTGTCCTCATCGTGCTCACTGTCCGCTATGTCAGAACTATCCAGGCTAGGCAGGCTGCTCGAGCGCTCCGACGTGTCCAGCGAGCTGCTCTCCACTGGAGAGCGTGGCATACGCTCCGGCCCGAAGACCCCAATAAGCAAGCGTACAAAGAAGCGCAGTTCAAAAAGTAAAGGCACAGACCATGAACCCTGTCCCAGTCTTGTACAATTGGCCCGAGCCAAGACGCTTACAACTACTACTACTACTACTACTACTACTACTACTACTACTACTACTACTACTAGTATTGCTACTGCTACTGCTACTACTACTGCTGCTACTACTACTGCTGCTACTACTACTACTACTGCTACTACTACCTCTACTGCTACGACTACCACTTTAATAGTCTTGCCACTGGTAAGACCACCACCACCAGCAAGACTTCTGCTGCTGTAGCTGCTAGCACCAGCACTACAACCATCGCCACCACAACTTGCCACTACCATTGCTTCTGCTACTGCTGATACTACTGCTATGCAAATATGCCCTTGGACAATCGAAAGTCGTTTGTGTGTCACACAGCTGCCTGAAAGGCACATGAACTTATAGTCCATGCAACAAGCCATTGCCGTTGAGGTCGTAAGCGGCTGCAATAAGGTAGAATGCGTCCTGGACAAAGGTCACAAGCTGGTAGCTGTCTTCGGTCGCACTTACAAGCAGCGACAGAATCGGCACGTTGTTCATCGTCGTCTTCCCATCACGACACCGGATTCCTCAGCCTTTCTTGTTGATGTCTTCAACTTATCACAACGTGTCGTGATAATTGAATATTGATACACACACACCATGCAATCCGGAACGCAGTGGAACACTGAGGCGTCCTCAAGGTTTGGTGCTTGGACGGCAAAAGCCTTGCGAGGATTCTTCTTCATCTCCGCCTGCAATGCAGCCCAAATGCAGGATTCAAGCTGTGCAACAACCCCGTGTGTCTTCATGTGTGTTACGGTGCTACCGGCGCTTCATGTCATCGCCCAGCACTTGGGAAGTACACCTGCCTTCTCTTCTTGCCTAAGGTGCAATGCTATGCAGGTTGCACTTTCACGGAGGGTCAGTGGTCGAACGTATCGAGATTGCAGAGCCGAGCCACACGATCTTTGCCCACTCCTCTGTGAGCTTCTTTCTTCGTGCCACCTGGCTCACGTGAACAAACCCTTACTGCCAGATGGTCGCCGGTTTTCACGCACTGCGCGGCACAGGCCAGCGCGGGTAGTAGGGAATTCAAGATTTCAGTCTGAGCTCTCTCAACATGCCCATGCCTGATCGTCAAAGGTCAGGTCACCTGCTGATGGACAGAAGGCACATGCACCAGCTCTCAACACATCAGAGCGGAATTTCAGCTCCGAACGCAGCTTGCCGTCTCTTGGATCATATAGGCTGAACTCCTGAAAAGTCTGGATACATAGTGTCGGCGAAAGGAATCTCGGCTTCTTCGCAGCAACTGCAAAAACACGTGTCTCCTCTATTCGCCGCTGATCCTCCAAAGACACGCTGCCCTGCAGCTAACAAAGACAATGTTGAGAATGGTGTCTTGTAGCAACAGCCTGCCTGGAATATGGAATGCGCCTCGCCACCTTGCATTCTACATGCAAAACTCGTGCCAGCATTGCTCGGTGCAGGCAAGGCACCGTTCTCGCCTACATCCTCCTGCAAGGCATCACAGGAACCAATGTTGGCAGAATGCTGGCAGACAGCGATCAAGCAAACGTCTGCAAGGGAGTCTTCATCGCCAAACCCAGTGCACCGACTGCTTTGCACAATTCCGTATCTTTGTGCAACAACGGCATGCAAGCTTACTTGATGCTGAAGTAGCAAAACTTTCGAGGACGCTCCATCCAATGGCTATGGCAGACCTTTACGAGGCGCCACACTTTTAACTCGTTGAGAGTTCTTAATCAAAGCGCAGCTTCCGGTGGGCTCCAATCGCGAGTTGGCGCACTCGGCACCAGACTGAGCAGCGAACGAAGCCATTCTTACTTTGTTTGTCCGACACTACCTACGCGGGGTCGTGGCGCATGAGTGCGACTGAAGTGCTTGCGAAGCCATTGTGCGGCTCCTCTTCCTCCTCTTCGGGAGCCATTTCTGTCAGTGGAGGCTCTACCTCGCAGTCACCCAAAGGGGCAGAACAAGCATCCTTTCAACTCACTCTCAAGAATTCCGGAAGAAAGGTTGCACATCGAAACCGACAGTTAATGCTTTCGTCGTTGGCGCTCCCTGGAAGATCTGCACAAGCCAACAACACCAAAAAAATGCCGCTGGAGGATCTTCCTTGCTTGCAAACCTACAACTCTCGGTCCAGCACATTAGCAAACATGCTCTGCTATTGCTCTATTACTTCTTGATACAATACGTCTGATAATCTTGCCAGTGTCTAGTGTCGCCGCCGGCACATGCTTCAAAATCCATTCTTGCGACTCGAGTAAGATGCCTCTTCATGCATTCAACACTCGGAGCATTGCGCTGTTACCAGACAGTGCATGTCTCACGGCGTCTCTGCACACCCATTCTGGGGATGCTGCTAGTGCTGGCGGTGGCGGTGGCGGCACTGCGGCCTTCATGCAAGAAGCTTTAGAGTAAAACTTTAGAGTCAGTCGCTCACTTTGTCTGACAAGTGACTAGTGACTAGTGCGAGTGTGACAAACCGGACGAACCGACTGTCGTCAACGACCTAGCGATTTGCGATGACAAACGAATGCTTTTCAACAGATCAACATCTTGTTAGGTCGGCTTCCCCGATGAAAATTTGCCAGTCGATGAAACGACCAGGACTTTTTCTGGGCAAAGCCACGGCTTGTGAGAGCGTCCTGCCCAGATCTGCGTAGCCGACAGAGACGGCTCCAGTTCTTCACACGAGCCCAGGCCCGAGACGATCGCGTTTCTCTCATTAGTTAGAGGAATCAGTCTCTGCCCTCTACAGGTCCCAGATGAGGTTGTCCTCGCAACCTCTGAAGAGTTTGCTTCGCGAGAGGTTCCCCCCAGAAGCGTCTACAATCGTCTACAGAAGTGTGCTATGACCCTGAAGGCAATACAACGTGTTTTCTCCTGCATGTGGAACCGGGCCGAAGGCGTGAACGTCCGCAGACAAAACTCATACGATACTGCACGACTGCACAGGCTGAAGAGCTGCAGTTTCGAGGAGTAGCTGCGTCCCGCCTCTTCCGGCTTTTCCTGCTGCAGAAAGCCAGGGTTGACGCGATGTGGCTGTGGCATGTTCTGCATCGACTCACAGGGAACAGAGGACCTACCCGGCTTGCTGTCGTGTATCTGTCATGAGCAGTGACCCTAACTGAATGACTGAATGCATTGTTCAAACAGGCCTTGGCTTGTTGAAGCTGTCGACTCTTCAATTTCCATGCATTCTGAATGGATTCTTCCATGGCCACCAAGGCCCTCCTTGCGGAACGAATGTTGCTAGTCACTATGAGTCCACGTAAGAACATTCTGCAGTGAAGTCTGAATGGAAGTCTGTCCGATCCCGAAACGACCTTGTTCACGGAAACGTGAAAGCTCATATAAGGCTGAGCAACTACATAACCATGACACGAAGTCACACCTATATAGTATCTTGAAAATAGCTTCTGTAGTCCGTATTTCACGGCCGGGCGACGACCGTTGCGCATCCAATCGCAGTCTCTCGGATGAAACCTAAGCCCAGAGTGGACTCAGAAGGGTGCCTTCAATTGAGCTCTTACCGGACCGTGAAAGCCTCGGAACCAAATCTTTCAAACCCTTCCATAGCAAGCTTTCCACCATGAACGGTTCCCCTTGTCGCCTGAACCCCAAGATCCAGGACGTAAACAGATCCTGCTTCCGCCAGGGCACGAGCAAGCTGTGTTGGAAAGCGCTCCTTGGATCGACAGCGAACAGCGAACCTGCCCTCGACTCTTCCGGCGGGTTCGAACTACCGACTTTGCAAGGGTTGCATATGGTTGCATGTTAAAAGATGTAGCCAAGCATCGTCGCCTCTTCAGAGGTTGGAAATTTAGCCAATCTCAATACTGAAGCCATGCCGTCATCATATGCCTCAGCAGAAAACTTCTCCTAGCCTGCGTCGGAAAGTCAATGGCTGACACCGGGGTCGCCCAGGTTCTCGGTGTAGCAGGCGCGAAGTTCCCGCCCCCAACGAAAAAGTATCTGACTGGAAGATGAAAGACGTCTTTTGCAGTTGTCGCACACTTGACCGGACCACGATTGCCTTGGAAGTTTACAGAGGTTCCTCCAAGGCCTAAACTGTTCTAAACCCCCATCCCCCATGCCAATGTTCGTCCGACTGGAGGAGTACTCTAGAGAAGCAGTACTTAGAAGCCGTCTGATATCGGTCTCCAAATATATGCGATCAGGCCTGACAATGGGATTCCGGGTTTGGGCAACGGCTTCTGGGGAAGCCTGCGGGAAGCGTGCCCATGCTCAGGGCCGCACAGTTGTCACCATGGCTGCAAGTCTTTGGCGCCACAGACCTCCCTGGACTCTGAATGAGTATCTCAGGATGTCTCGCATGGCTATGGCTACGCGACTCATCCAACCTCTGCACATAATCGAAATAAGCTACGTGTAACAACCCCTGGAGAACTATCGTTTGTTTGACATGAGAGCTGCACTTTGTCAGAATTTTATTGATCAAAAGCGGCAGGTAGAGATGGTCAAAACCACGAACAGGATCCATCGGACATTGCACACATAATCTCGTGCCACACTGATCCTCAGAGAAGTGCATGCACAAGGAACTACTGATGTATGGTCGCGGCCGACATGCTTTCCTGGACGGCCTTACCTTCCAGACGCTGATCAACACCAAGAAGTGGATTTGTCCATGAGACCCGAGAGATGCTTTTCTAGCCAGCCCTATGACTGGCCCACAGGACATGCTGAAAGACTCCAACAATGCCTTGAGGAGGTTTCGGTCTCCGACTTCTGGCGAGACTGACCTGCTTCAGTTGCTTACGAGCATCCACTCGCATGAATAGATCCTCCGTTCTGCTTGAAAGTCTGTTCCATGCAACCGTGCGGAGTCTGATAGTCAGGACACGCCTCATATTCGGCAAAGTCGATCACATCCACCTTGTTGCAGAGTGCTTATACACCGCACAGCAGAGATTGACGCTTGTCGAGCGAGGCAAGCTTGCCACCTTCGTGGCTTATCGTGGCTTAGGCTCCGACAGCTGCTCGACCTTTCTTCCGGGGTGCCTTGCAGGCCAGAAGTGTGCCTACCGCACGCTGACAGACATGCTTTCGACTTTGCGTCTTCAACTTCGAACCGCTGAATTAATTTCCGTTGCCAGTGCCTGGCCATAGTCACTGGCAGAGTTCACCAAGCGGTCAAGGCTCTCGTACAGCGGCTGTGAAATAGCGTGGTTGACTCTTGGCGCGACAATGTTACCGCATAGACGTCCAAAGAAAGAAAACTTGGAAATGGCTGTTCAGCCTGCGTGGCAGCTGCTCCCACAGCCGGTGTAGATTCCTCGTAGCCGCAGCAGGCAGCACTGCCGAAAAACTCAAACAAACAAAACTCAGTGTTGCAAGCACAACATGTCCGGCCCCTCGCGTCACAAAGACCCCAAGAACACTGGCATTCGTACTTCGACCTCAACCTTGAATCTTGATATTTGGTTCCCAAAAGGGAGCGTGGAAGCCCCACTCCAAGCCCGAGAGGCGGCAGCACCAGCAGCAGGGCACCGAGCACGTTTACTAAACAAACATCGCTTAGGATGTCGAAAAGACACTAACAGACAGACTCTACTTGCGCAAACCCCAGACAGCGGTGCAAACTGCAAAATAGTCTTATCAAGATCCAAAGCAGGACAACGCGGCCTGCGTGGCATCCACCTCGGGATGAGATTTCAATGTAAAATGCACGCGCAGTCAAGCTAAATGCAGTTAATTGTGACGACATCAGTTGTGCACACACTGCAACCAGCCCATAGGCGCCAGCAGTGCGAGGCGTAGTTGTCGGCGTGCCGCTTGGAGTGCCACTCGGCGTCGTCCAATAACTTGCATCCTAAACAGCAGGAAGCAAACCGACAGAAAGTCATGCGCGGACAAGGCGAAACATGTCAATGCTGATTCGATGAAACTTCAAGCACCTCGGTGACAAATGATTCACACTGCGCCGAAAGTACTGACAACACAGCAGCAGAGGCGCTAATGGTATGCAACAAATTCGGGTTTGCTCACAGAATCTACGAATGGTCGGCAACTCCCGCCGCGGTTGAGGAGCACAAAGGTGTGCGATTTATTGCCATTTTGATTTCATGGCGAGAACTTCTTCCATTGGAAAGATGAGCGGGGACACTACGGGACAGGAATCGCGACTGCTGTCGATGATTGTGGGGCAGCTGGGAAACGGCAGTGGTCGGACGAGAGCTACAAGCTGCTGATCATCAAATTCGGGATGTTGACTCGGAGCTTCTCCCGCTCACGCAACGTGGAGTCCCCTAAGACCAGACTCCGGGCTTTGCCGCGTTCCGATTGCCCAAACAGCTTTAACATCTTAACAAAAACACTATTGCAGCTACCGCATACTCGGCGACCATGCGGTCCAGATTCCTGTGAACAACCCTGGCTTTCGTGGCCTTGTCGAGCGGCGTGAACTCCACCAATCCTAGCTCTACCTATTTTTCAGACGAGCTCAACGGCGGTATCGCCCATTCTTGTATCCACGCGTCCGACATCGACTGCCAGCACCTCTTGGGATGAATGGACATAGTTCTTCACGCTAATAGCAATCGTAATATACGACTTTTCGGCATACTATGTTTATCTACGTTCTTTTTGTTTATGGTGCACCATCACGATTGGCACTGCGACCGCTCCTTGCGCCTTCCGTTCGACAGCCTCTCCCATTTCTTCACTTGTTCATTGGCCTGGCCCACTTGATCCAACCTGTAATTACAGTCCACCTCGCCGAAGTTGTCCGTCGCCTCGTCAACTTTGTAGATCTCAGCCGTCGGAAGACACTGTGTCAGGCCCTAAGCGTTTCCCAGACCAAGTAAACCAGACGAGTCACTTTACACTGCACCACGCGTCCTGCCATCGAATGACCGCGAAGCGTCAGGATAGTCAGTCTGCGCAGCCTGAACCCAGTTCATTGCCCAGCACGGGTTCATCACTTCATCAGGTTGCGCTGAGCCGTCCTGCACACAGTTCACCACCTGACGCAAGTCTGCTCTTCTTGGCCTCATTTGGCTCGCGCCATTTCAAATCCGCTCCTCTTCCTCTTCGCTTCGTGCCATCGCTGTCGTGCTGCCCGACATCCAACTCTACTGATATAAGCACTTCCGAACCCGAGGTTGTGGCAGTTCAAGTGATGTTGGCGGCGTGGAGGTGTGATCATCAATTGCCGGAGAGGCTGTTGGAGACGTGGTTCAGGATCATCAAACCCTTCCGGAATACACATCGAAAACCGATCCAACTCAAAACCCGGAACGCTACATAGATCATGGCCACTTGGCCTGTCGTTGGTGTCGGAGTGACCTTCTTCAGGTCGAAGCGGCTTTTTGTTCAGGACGATTGCATCATGGGTTTCTAGTTTTGTGCTCGTGGCAGTGACAGCTTGCTTGCCCTTGCGTCCAGAAAAGAAGGACACTTCTGGTGCACTTGGGAGGATTAAGGTTCCGGGCACCTTGTGCTAACGCTGCATCAGCGACGTTTCTGCTTGATAACGCCCTGCTCAGGAACTCGCACGGATCCACGTCTTTTGAAAAGCCTTCTTCCAAGCCATCACACACCACGACCCACCAACAGTCACCGATTTGAAGAGGAGGGCATTCGACCACGGCCTGAACGTACTTGAGCCTGTTCTCCTCGTCGCGGTTCGGCGCGACCAGATATTATGCCCTGCCGTGTGACTTGAAGCTGGTTCAACCCCAGCAACCCCATTGGATCTCGGCCAGCCTACATCGCCATTGACCCCGCGGCAGCAGCCCTTTGGCCAATCCTTTCAGTCGACCTTCGGCCACTGCAATGTACTCCTCGTCAATAGGTATGCGAAGGAGCCTCGGCATCTGATATGCCGCTGACGCAGGTGGAGCGGTCATGAGCGGTCATGAAAATGCCGGACTTGGCTGTGGTTGCTTGCGGCCATCGATGCAACATTCCCTCAGATCTGATGGTTTTGCTTTCAATGAAGCCTGAAGGAGCGACCCTGTCATGGTCCATAGTTTGGGCCGCTGAGTTGCCCCTGCCTAGACATGTCGTACCACTTAAGCACACATGGCCCCTGCCGTAGCCTTCCGACGGCGTTTGGAGGGGCCACCATGGCACGTCGCACCTCCAACTGCGCATGACGGAGGAACGGTGCCATCTGGGTACACACACACACGGAAAACCTGAAGCCCTTGCCGTCATTCCTTCTGCAGTCTCTCCGTGGCGGCTTGGGTGCCCGCCTTCGCAGCTAAGGTCATAGCTGTCTTCAAGCCAGCCCGTCCAACTAGCACCAACCCTCATCGTGGGCCCGGTCCTAATCATAGTGGTTGGGCCAACAGTCCCGGTTGCGTCCTTCGTGGACTTGTTAGCTGCTAGCTGTCGCCGCAGATCTTCTCGTTCACGGCCCCGATCACAGACTCGTCCTTCTTGCAATAGATCTCATAGCCAAACAAGCGATCTGCAACTTGATGTCCCATGCGGTCGCGGCAACCTCAACCGCACTTTAAGCCTCTGAGTCTGAGCTTTGCCTTGCCAGGCTACCGGGCCGGGACACCTGCCAGCGAGACCATCTCGCCTGCATGGGTCTGCCACAAGCGCTGCCCGCTCCACTACTGCTGTGTGCAAACAGCTCCTGCTTGATTTCTCAATGTAGATCCAAGGGTTTGAGAAACATGCCCTCGTGCTCGAGGACGCATGCCGTAGGAGAAGATTCCTGCCGTGACCGCCATGGTTTCGCAATCCACCTGGCTGGTAAGCACTGCGGAGCTCGTCGTCGACTGAAACAGCCGCTCCACGATTCATGGAACCGGACACAAGCTGAAAGCAGTTTGTAGATCGCCGCCGCACACGATGCAGGGCTGTGCTGACCCTTAAAGCCTTAGCAGTCCCTGCCCCTGTATGTTTAGTGGTTGTTGCACGCAGACGAAGCTCGGATACCAAACACATCACTCGGGCTCAAGCACTCTGGCAGATACGGTCACAACACTACAGAAGAATTACGAGCACAAGAATCTCGACTGAGACCCCGCCAAGCATGTAAAGCAAGAACCATAACTGCAAACCACAATCAATATTGATGCAGTTCTGAGACACCATCAAGCACGGACTCTGCACACTGTGTATGCAGCAAACGAAACCATGTCTACACAGCCAGCATCTGCTTTGAGCACCGGACGCTTCTTGGCGTCAGCTCTGGCTCCTCCTAGCAGCGTAGCAGCGTAGCGTAGCGCAATACACGTACATCAGATTACCGCCCATCGGGTGCCCACAATGCAGAGTCTGACGCGACATCGGAAACAGCTCCAGGCGCTGATAGAATGCTCCCGTCGAGTTAGGCACGAGATTGGATTTGCACTGCATCAGTTTACTTGTTGACCTCCTACTGGCATGTCGAAGTGCAAAAAACCAGGCAATGTGCGTTCTGTGCTGCAGGCCATGCGTAGCAATTCCACGTGCGCAGGGCTGCTTGACAGACAACGTTAGCCGCGTGGCGGTTTGCACCAGGCCACGGGCGCTTGCCACGAAGCACATCCCCTCGGTTTGCCGTACCAGTCAGCACCGACAAAAATCGGATTCTCGCAAAACAACAGAAAGGATTCGCACCACGCTGTCGTTCACAAAAGGAACCCGCACTCTTTGTTCCGCTGGCCCTCGCCTCCTTTCTTTTCGGACGATCCCCGTGCTGCACTGCCTATGTTGCTATAAGGTGCTGCCTGTGCTGGAAAGCCGGTTCCAATACTGCAAGTACGGTAGGTTAAGACGGTTAAGACGACGTGTGCAGGGGAAACTCCCCCGCCCCCTCTGTTCTGCAAACATGGGCGCGCCTCTATGGAATCACTTCCAACCTGAAGAAGCCTTCTCCGAGATTTGGTAGCAGTCTTTAGGATCTGCATCGGAGATTGAGGTCCGGTCGTCTCCGAAAACTAGCTTCGGTTGGGGAGAAAAGACACGCCGCCATGCATTTATGCCGACAATTGCCCACAGAAGGTCGTCGGTTGACCAACAACTATTTCTGTGATGCTGAGAGCGGCTGAACTTATGTTACTCTTCACGCCGTCCGCGCCTCACCTGTCTGCACGCGGCGGGTAGCCTGATAGGCCTCCCAACCTGTGCAAAATTATGATTAAACAATGCCGCAAGCTGATTCTCGGCTCTGGGGTCTAGTCGCTGGAACTGATGCTTTGGGCAGCAATACATGCTTCCAGTTGACACCATCAGCTCAGAAGCACCTGCAGTACAGTCGGAGCAATATGTCCGTCGTCGCCATGTCGTGCCTGCAGTCAGTTTAGAACCCACGGAACACAGTGACGAAATCTGCAGAGATCAATTACGTCATGTCGGATGCCAGGGCATGCCGAGAACCGGGCAAGATGTAGCAGCAACCTTTTCAGAGAAAGCTCATGTCTATGCAGAACCAGGACTGAGAAAGCAATTCTGTGACGAAGCGAAGCATCGTCTTCATAAACCCAAGCTGCCCAGTCCCAGCAGTGGCTGCAGCGCGATAGTTCAGGATAACGATCCTGCTGCAACTGAAACCCCAACAGAACGCCAACAAGAACCATGAGGTGCTCAGTGTCAGGGCTTATGCAGTCTTTACGATCCAGCCTCATCGCGTTGTGTTGGCTGAATAGCCGCGACAACACCTTGCATTGCCTGCAACAAAACGGCATAAAACGAAACGAATTCTTGGTGTCTCTTGTCTTGGTGTCTCCAAGGGGCCTGCCATGCACCCTGGCAGCAAGGTGCTCCACGCGGCCAGGCAGACCAAACGGCACCACTCCAGGAGTCTGCAAAGCTCGGAAAGCCCAGCCTTAAAGTGGAACACTCCCTCTCTTTCCAAAGGCCGAGGGCCAAATCAAGTGCGCCACCAGAAAACCCACAACCAGCCACTCCCACCACGCTCTCTCCTGGTCAGATTGGCCATGTTGCCTAAGAAGCCCCGAATTCTTCGTGACCGGCCTTGCCCAGAGCCTCCCGGCGGCAGCCAGGAGCCAAGTTGAAGGCAGCGAGGAAGCAGCCAGTAATGCCCCGCAGCCTACGATTTGCAGCAGGCCTCTATAGCTTGGAAATGGATAGCGAAGTCCTCTGCCGGTAACCGGGACGCTTGGACATGGCGACATCTTTGAAAGCAACAACTTGCAAGCTTGCTCCGCGGTTAGGCCTCTCTTCACGACTCTTGTCATACTTCGCGTTGGTAGTTTGCTTGTTCACTCGATTTGCATTTGGCATTTGCTGAGTATCTTCTCGCCTTGGCGGTTGTCAATTGCTGCAACCTATCGCATGTGCCCCGCGCATGCGCGGGTGGGAGCTCTTCGGCTGTCTGTCCGTAGCCTTGTAATAGTAGTACGCAGGCGGATTTCTCTGCCATGGCAAGGCTCCCCTCCGGCCTAGAAGGCCCAGCGGCATCTGGATCACACGCACAAAGTCCGCCAATCCGGTCCGACACCTCGAGAAAAGTGAGCTGGTCGGACCTCTTGGAAAGCTCCGTCTGCTGTCAAAGAGCCCGTCAATCATCAAGAGACCTCGACACATCCGACCCCTTCCATATGCATTTCGCCGCGGGCCGGGCCGTGCTCCTCCGAGCTTCCGGCAAATGAAGGGCAAGGCATCTAACTGCTCCGGCGAGAGGAGGAGGGTGATCGACCTGTCAGGTCTGAGACCCAAAGCTTGTGCGGAATCCATCTGTAACGGTATGTCAACTTTCACATCTGGCCTGTACCAAGCCAACCAGTTCGTCAGGCGCTCCGCGACGCCACGCGGAACAAGGCTCCTTCGTGTCCGCACTGCACCTGGCACAGTCACCTCTCGCCACACCTCTCATTGTCACTCGAGGCCAACCACCCCGACAGTCTGACTTTGCCTCGAGCCAAGCCCGTGAAAACATGCTGCTTGAGGGAACAAAGAGGCAGTCAACACTAGCAAACCAAAAACAATGACGCTCAGTGAGTGCTTCAACCATGCCCTGCCTGAGCGACAGCTGCCCTGACTTTCCGCCTGTCGGCTGGCTCAATTTAAGTCGGAAAGCTCGAGACGCCGCACAGGAATCGTCAACGCATCAGATCTTTGCGATGCGAGGCTCTTCGAGAAACTTCTCGCCGTTCGCCTGCTCTCCATTGACTCCCTGGTGCAACACACCTGGGCGAGGCTTTTCCACGCAGTGCACACAAGCACGCGCTGCCTCGCACGCTCTGATCACATTGGCCAAGCTGCCGTTCTGCAACTTGGGCAGAGCCTCATCACCTTGCATTGCAACAGCTTCTGCGTGACGTTCTGCTAACGTGTGATGCGTCTCTTCTGTCCAAAGCGTATGCCACCAAGTTGCCATTCCCTTGCCAAATGAGCTCCGACCTCGAGGGTGAAGGATGATGGTATCATAGCATTGATGGTCACGAATGGCCGATGGGTCGGAAGGCTGAGACTTCTCTTGACAAGTGGCCGTACTTCGCAAATGGCCTGTGGGCGTCCATCACATACACCGAGCCGGTGCGGCTACTTCAGGGGCCAACCGTGTGGGCACACGGTGTCGCAATCGGCGTCTCGGTAAGTGTCCATGTCGGCGTCCTTGCCCAGGTACCAATCGATTCATTTGCAAGTTTCCCGTCTTCGGGCAATTCTCTACCCTTGAACACCGTCCCTGGTGTCCCTAGTGATGTGTGAGCGTGTGCGTGCTCTTCTTCGTGCTCGCCATTTCGCGTGGTTACGGTCGTCGCCTCTTGGGCCGTGTCATTTCCGTGACACTGTATACTGTGGACATGGGAGAAGTCATGTTATGTTCCTGGCCGGTGATGTTGACGTGTTCAAGTTCGTTGTTCTTACTGAACCGCCGACTCCAGTAGCAAGCCGCAGTCTTTCTCCATTCCAATCAACCAGGGCTAGTTCTGCCAACAAGCCCCCCTTCGAAAGGACGTGAAGGACGAAGTCTTCCCACATTCCCTGAGCCCGTGATTCAGGGAAGAGGCGGCTCTCAAACACCCCAAATGCATTCACCTGAGTGTGTATGTATGTGCACGCGTAATGCCTGGCTCCCGTTCCACCCGCATGCATTCTGGGAAGCCACGGACTGACCTGGTGATTATGATTGACGCCGCCCATTGGGTGTGCCCAAATTGGATTTCACTTCCGAGACTCCGACAATCCCGGTGCCAGCGCCAGCGCCAGGGGCAGCCTCCCAGCCTGCACGGACACAGCCTGGCGTCGGAGTCCTGCCAGGACAACCTGACCTCTGCACCGCAGTTCGCAGCAGCGATTCTTGCAAGTCCTGCTGCCAGAACCAGGCCCAGCAGCAAGGAGCGGGAAACTGGCGACTTGGGTGGCCTTGGCCTGTGAGAACCGGCAAACAAGGCAGCTCAGTCCTGCGAAGCATCACTTCGCTGCGGTTCAACCCCAGGTTGACATCAGCAGTTGCAGCTTCATAGTTTCCATGCTTATGCTCGCATCATTTGTGTGCCCACCACGTGTCACTGCGTAGCCTTCTGCTAGAACAGGAGGGTGACGAGCCAGACAGAACGCAGGGGGCCTCCTCGCGCACTCGTTTTCCAGTATTTGTTTGAGCAAGTGCCTTGGACCTAGGATGCCATCTAGACATGCAGCTGTCCTCTTGACGCAGGTCTTTCAGCAGCGCCGCCCTGGCCACCTTGCCCGTCGCGGCATTCCTCAGCTCGCAACTCAGACATCGATTCCGGCGCCGCTATCCTCAATGGTGGCGCAGCGTCGTCTTTCACTTCCTGGAGCAACGTATCGCATTGGGAGCTTGCTCGTTGTGGAAGCCGGTTCAGAGAAATTCCATGCCGTGGCGACATGGCGCCAGCATGGAAGAACGAAAACAACTCAGCACAGAAACTATGCTGCACCGTGCATGGCAGTGAGCATCTGTCTTTGTGCAAGAAACTTGCACCTTGGCATGCATGAATTCGCAGATGCGAGCGAGCCCTAGTCGGGATTCACGTCTTCAATTTTCTTGGAGACGTTGGGGTACCCACTGCGCAAAAGTTCCATGCAAGCGCAGTCCTTGGATTGGAACAGGTTTCCCATGAACGTGCAAGATCGAGTATGTGACCCGCCAAGCTGCGTGGAGCTCAGACAACAAAGATGTTGTTTGCCACCACTGTACTCGCTGCGCGCATGCACTGATGGCGGCACCGAACCTGATCTGCTTTCGAGACCAGGAGCACAACACCCAAACCATCATCCTCTATCTGTCGGATCGAGTTGCCGCTGCTGCTTCAAAATCATGGAACGCATGCGGGCGTAATCATGTGTGCATGCCACCGGAAATTCCAAGGGGAGAAAGCAGCAGCAGTCCCGGTAAAACAAAGCAAAACTTCGATCGCTGTGAGCGTATGGGGCGGAGGGCGAGATTGAGGCGATTGAAAAATTGAGAAGCTTGGAGAAGAAAGAGTTCGGAGATCGAAAACTTGAGTGCTTCGAGTTTAAAGGTTTGGATGGTGCGGACGTCTGGTGGAGGACGTGGTAGGTCCAAATGGCGTCGGCTCGAGATTGAAAGCTTCTAAAGGATGCAGTTCGAGACAGTGAGGACTCCGAGACTGAAAGTTCGAAGGCTTGAAAGTATCTAATTGCAATGGCTGCTGAAAGATTCAATTCTGCGAGATGGAATGTTAAGAATTCATTCTAGCTTCGGAAGCTTGAAAGTTTGACAGCCACGGAACTTGTGAGTTCGAAGATGGAATGTTTGACTTCGAAAGCATGCGGTTTGGGACGTGCTCTTGTGCTTTAAGGTTGTATCAACTGGCACTCAGGGCCTGCATGACACATGAGTGTCGGGATCGGGGTTGAAACCTAGGGCGCAACAAAAAGCAAATCCTAGACGGGACCTTACCTGAAGCAAGGTTGTATGTACCATAACCGGAACACTATCGCGAAAAGTGTAGCTTCCCTAAATACCCTAAACCCTTTTGAGGCGTTTGAAAACACGAAACCCGACATGATTACATCCTGAACTCAAAACCTTCATGACTCAAGGAAAACAATGTAGGTCTGACACAAAAGCTATCGCCTGATGAGGGGGTGGGAAAACGAGAACTGGCCACTTATGAGCCGACAGGTTTGAGAAATATGAACAACCAGAATCAACAAATGAGGGGGCAAGTCTCAACACTTTTGAGTAGCATTTACCAGCGCCTGATGAGCGGGATGCGGAATGTCATCAAGCCCCTCGCCTATCGTACACCCTCGCACGGTACACAATACAAAAAAACTCCAGCAACTTCAGGTGGTCCGGGCTCAAAGTCGCTGAGACTATTCATCTAGGGCTCTTGGGGACAATGCAGCACTCTTGGCTTGCATAACTTGGTACAGCACTTTCAACATCCCAGAGACCTGAAGTGCCACACTGCCACAAAATCTACAAGATCCGGGGACAGTACGGCGATGCTGAAGCACCGTGCTGTTCCAAACTTCATGGAGCCAACACCGAGGGACAGTGCTACGCACGTGTTGAAGAGTCTTCGAGGACAGTATTCCGCCCTGTGCCTGTCAAACACAGCAATGGGGCGGGGACCAAAGTTTCGGACCCTGCAGTGTGCCGATCTGGCGCGCACAAAAGGTTCGTAATTCCAAACAGAACCTTCTTCGGTTAAGAGACCGACAAGAGGAGGTTCTCAGTCTCCGGTGAAGAAACACAGGGGGCTTCCTGTTTCCCCTTCAGAATCGAAGAAGTTGTCTTGTTGCGTATAAGTATATGGAGAGTCTTCTCTTGTTTCTTGACGAAAGATAGCTGGGTAGGACAGAACGGGCCAGGTTCAAGTCTCGGGAGGGGGTGTGCATACATATACATATGCACATAAATACATACATGTATATCTATATGTATATATATATATATATATGTGAGTACATATACACACACACACACACATATATTTGCATATACATATACAAGTACATCTGCATGTATGTACACACATCTAATTATATATAATGATATATAATTATATATAATCAGTTATATATAAGTATATATAATTATAAATAGTTATATATAATTAAATATAATTATATATAATTATATATAACTGTATATCATTATATATCATTATATATCATTATATAAAACTATATATAATTATATATAATTATATATAGTTATATATAATTATATATAATTATATATAATTATATATCATTATATATCATTATCTATAGCTATACATAGTTAAATCTAATTATATGTAATTATATATAGTTCTATATGAATATACATTTGTATATTTATATATATATAATTATATATATATATATATATATATATAATTATATATATAAATATATATATTATATATATATGATATATAATATATATATGATATATATATATATATATATATGTATACAACGGCATATACTTCTACATAGTTTTATAAGATTATATATAACTTATATATACATATATTATATATATATGCCCCCCCCCCCCCCCCCCCCCCCCCCTCCCAAGACCTACCTCGAAGGCTCTTCTTGTGCTGTCCAGACGACGTGACGACTCCACTCCGAACAAAAGTCTTGTATTGCATAGTCTTCCCTGTCTACGACGTCTACGAAGACACAACACCGTTCGAACCAAGACAATACCACGAAGCATTGTGCAATGTCCTCTGTATGCTACGCTATTTAACGGCGGGCTTTGGTACGCCGTGGCGGAGTGTATTTCCCACGAAACCAGTAATTGTCCTTCGTGTTTTTGCTGGCATCACCAGGTAAGTATAGTTACACCGCCACGACATACTGGACTCCAGCATCACATAATTTTTGCGTTTCCACACTGAGTTCCATTTTTTGGGCATAGACTTGTAGTATTGCAAACTCATGCATATGACAAATGAACCATGCCTTGTCTCGCGAAACACTTGTACTTATGCACTCGCGCTACTGTTGCTAACTATGCCCGTGTCGGTTCGTTGCATTTGGGGTTCCATGCATCTTTAAAACGACTTATTGTGGTGGTGGGAGGACTTCCCAGACTTTTTTTATGCCTCGACATGTACGTGTGCATGTTTGTGCGCGTATACTCCTGTTTATACTCATGTTGGTTTGTGTACGAAAACGGAAGTAGCATAGGCTGCAGCGGTCTCGCCGGACGAATATACTGACAGACAGAGCATCACGGATACGTAGAACCGCATGTGAAGTAATCGGGGACTTCCTGTGGGGTGTCACCTTCTGAGTTGTTTAAGGTTTGCCACCCATCGTCTTTTGGAGAAGCCTCGGATTGGGGCGAGCAAACATATGTTACTACGACGTGACATGTTTGGAAAACCTGTCACAGCTTTGAGGATAGATTTGTGATTTCGCCACCCACCCAACCCGTGTTTGCACAGGGGCTGCTGTTGCTAACTATGCCCCTGTGATTTTCTCGACTTTGAAGTTCTATGCATCTTCAGAAAGAACCAATGGTTTGCCGCCCAACACTTCGTTCGGGGATTTGGGTGTACCACATAACTTACCCGACTCTCCCGGCGAGGGTTTGGAGGCCCAATCACCTTATGTAGGGTTTGGTGCTCATTTTGGCTTTCGAAGCAATTACTGATAGGTTTCATTTTTCTGCGCCAATCACTCATCCTAGATTTATGGGTTTGCGAGAGATCGGTACGTCGAACCACGTATCCATGTCATTACATCGGTTTGACCAGGTCTGAAATTGAGGATTGGCCACACGTCTAAAAATTGTGTGGGCCATGCCCTAAGTTCGGTTATGTGTCTAGCGGTTCGGCTCCGACTGATGTTCCATGTTCACAATCTTATCCGTAACGTATTCTATAGGGTATTCTATAGGGGAGTCTAAGAAGTATCCTATAAGGCATATAAGGTGGTGAATGACAGGCTATGTCATACATGGTGCCCTCGATATTTACCAGGGAAGGGCGCGCGGACATGACCACAAGGACAGGGGGGAGGTAGGAGTACAGGAGTTCTTCCTTTGATCAGCTGCAGCTTGTGGTATCATATATATATATATACATATTGTCACACACCCAATCCGTCATGCACAGCAATCCGTTCCCTCATTCGATATCGAAGATGATAAGCAGTAGTAGTTATATAGTTCCCACCGGCCTGTATGCATTAAAACCAGCATTGAAAAGTTAAGGCTTAATGCAACCCGGCCTGTGGAACCAAGAACCAAGATGCCCAGGACTCTTGAACCTTGGATCTTGGTTCCACGGGCCTGGTTGCACTAAGCCTTAATTTTGTAATGCTGGTTCAAATGCAGCCGCGCCTGCGGAACCAAGATCCAAGATTCAAGTCCTGGGCATCTTGGTTTTTGGTTCCACTTAATTTTTTTAATGCGGATATTAATGCAGCCAGGCCTCTAGTGAACTGTGGTGGGCATGATCCTGCATACACAGTCCCTCTCGGATTACGTAGTAATGTATACACTAATACATGTTGCATGTGCGTGCGTGCGTGTGTGCGTGCGCTTGTGCGTGTGCGTGTGCGTGTGCGTGTGCGTGTGCGTGTGCGTGTGCGTGTGCGTGTGCGTGTGCGTGTGCGTGTGCGTGTGCGTGTGCGTGTGCGTGTGCGTGTGCGTGTGCGTGTGCGTGTGCGTGTGCGTGTGTGTGTGTGTGTGTGTGTGTTTGTGTGTGTGTGTGTGTGTGTGTGTGTGTGTGTGTGTGTGTGTGTGTGTGTGTGTGTGTGTGTGTGTGTGTGTGTGTGTGTGTGTGTGTGTGTGTGTGTGTGTGTGTGTGTGTGTGTGTGTGTGTGTGTGTGTGTGTGTGTGTGTGTGTGTGTGTGTGTGTGTGTGTGTGTGTGTGTGTGTGTGTGTGTGTGTGTGTGTGTGTGTGTGTGTGTGTGTGTGTGTGTGTGTGTGTGTGTGTGTGTGTGTGTGTGTGTGTGTGTGTGTGTGTGTGTGTGTGTGTGTGTGTGTGTGTGTGTGTGTGTGTGTGTGTGTGTGTGTGTGTGTGTGTGTGTGTGTGTGTGTGTGTTTGTGTGTGTTTGTGTGTGTTTGTGTGTGTGCATGTGTGCTGAAGCGTGGTAGCATACATGAATCATGAATACAGACAGGTTTGGAGCCAGGTCCTGGGGGAGAAATAACCAAATATATATATATATATATATATACACACACATTTTTATACATTTAGTTTTTTATATTTATTTTTATATACATATATATATATATATATATATCTACATACATATATATGTACATACAAAAGCCCATATCACATAATACAAGTATGTCGTACCGTATCCCACGATTGCATCAAGATGCGTGATGGCGTTGACTTGTGAACGTTGTTGACGGACACGCGCTAACAGAGATAACGCTTGCTCCCACTCCCCACTCTGATCACAAGCCAGAATGACAGAACTGTGCGTGATCATGTCCGCTTGCAGCTGGTATCTCTGAAGCACCACTAGGAGGCTAAGAGCTTTTCGCCATTCGCCACCTTTTTCACAAGCACTGATGGTAGAGTTGAAGGTGATGATGTCGCAGACTCGTTTTACGGCCAATCTCTCGAGCAGACACAAGGCGATTTGCCACATACCGTGCTTCTCACAGGCGCTGATTGTAGAATTGTATGTGATGACGTCGGCCTCAAGACTCCAGCCCTCGAGTTCATCCAACAGCCAAATGGCTTCTGTCCAAGCACGGCCTTTCTCGCAAGCGATGATGGCTGTGCTGTAGGCAATGATGTTTGCCTCTATACGGCGTTGCTTCATTTCAAGAAAAAGTAGCAACGCTCGCTGCCACTCTTTTGCTGCTTCACAGGCACTGATCACAGCGCTGTACGTCACTACGTTTGCTTGCAGAAGCCTTTCTTGGCATTCTTCCAGCAGGCTTACTGCAAGCTGCCACTGGCTGGCCCGTTCACAGGCGCTGATGGTGGAGCTGCAGGATATTACATCTTGCAAGGCCCCCACATCCTCGAACAGCCGCACGGCTGACTGCCACTCGGAGGCTTTGGCACAAACGCTGATTGCTGAGTTCATGGCCACGACAACGTCCTGCCAGAGAAATCATCAGCACGGCTTCAAGCACAGGATTGCAGGCGGTAAGACTCAACGAAAGCGGAGACTCGTTTGATGCAGAGGGTATTCATCACTTCATCACTGGTCATGTTTACAGGACTGGGACCTGATCTAATCTGCAAGTTTGTCCACTGCACAGACAGGATTTATGCAAGTCAACCACCACTCGGCAAAGGCCTTCTGCCGTTTCGCTGAGTCAAGAAATGGGGCCGCAATCGACATGGTTGCCAATGCAGGATTACTTACAGCTTCAACTCCGTTTGATCCCGTTTTCAACCGTTTCTTACCGCTCAATTGTTCTATTTCGGTACATTTATGTGTGGTAGCATTTCTGAAAAAACATCCGCCTCCGCAGGGCCTTGAAGTTGCAATCTTCCTTGTTGGATCACTGCTAGCAAGGCCAGAGCTTGCTGCCAGTTGCCGACATCTTCACATGTGCTGATGGCCGCACTGTAAATGATCACATTTGCTGTCACCGCATGCCTTGCCATGTCATCCAAGAGTGCCAATGCGGCTTGCCACTGGCCACCGGACTGAAAAGCACTTATGGCTGCACCATACGTAACGACGGTTGGGGTGACTGAGGCTTCTCTGCTGTCCTCCATGAAAGCCATCGCTTCATGCCAGCGACTATGCTCGCGACAGATGGTGATGACTGAGTTATAAGTGACAATGCTGGCTTGCACTTTGTTGGCGCAAAGCCTGTTGAACCCTTCGACGGCTTCCTCCCATCTCTCCACGGCAATGATGCTTGTGTTGTACGATATCACATCCGCCTCCACGAGCTGATGCATAAGCTGACTGAGGCAAGCCTGCGAACATTGCCACTGAGAACACTCAGAAACGGCGGACACGCTCGAATTGCAGGTGACGAGGCTTACACGCAGATGCCCCATTGCCATATTGGCCAACAGGTATAGGGCCAGATGCCAGGCACTCTTGGAAGACGCTGAAATCGTAGCATTGTACGTGATAACATCTGCTTGCTGGTCGCATTTGGGCAACCCGTTCAGCAGACCAAGGGCCCTTCTCCACTCGAATGCGCTCACAGCCGAATTGAAAGCCACCTGAAAGGTGGCAATGGAGAAGATCTTTAAAGGGCCTGAAAACTATTCGATTACTGTATTCGGATGTTATTGCAGGCATGGCAAAAGCTTCAATTTGCATGTTATGCTTTAGCCATCTTGTGTTTACGAACTTGCTCATCGGCAAGACGGTGGAGTCGTGCGGCGCATGGAAGCAACACGATGAAAGAGCACGTGTCAAAGGATAAGGATCGCGACTGTGATGGTGTCGGTGCATCAAGTGTTGGTGCATTCACATTGCTAGCCATCTGAGGTCTACTACTACTATATTACTACTGCAGTTATCGATCTCCGATCGTTTAGCACCTTCTAGCTGGTCTGGCATTACCATTCCGTGTGGATCCTCAGAGTCCTTTTGAGTCCTACACCAATCCGAAACCCAGAAAATGTAAACCACAACACCCTGAACTTTGAAGCAACAAACAAACCCTAAACCCGAAGCCGCCAACCCCCGAGCCGATCCCCTATATCCTGGCGAAGCCTAAAGCCCTAAAATCTGGAATCTCAAAGCCAAACCCCGAACCTCGTACCACAAACCCTCGAAACAAAAGCAACACATGATTCCACAAGCCAACACATGTTTGAGTGAGGGTGCAATTGTTGCTTCCAGGGTCTCCTCCCCGAGTCGTCCAAGAAGGGCGAGTGCATGGGGCCATCTTCGGCCCTTCGCACACGCACTGATTGCTGGGCAGAAGCTGAAGGTGTTGACCCTTGCCGCAGCTCCACGGACCGCGACAAGCAGAAGTACAGCTTGCTGCCAATCCGACTCCCGCTCGCAGGTGCCGATGGCCACATTGTGATTGTAAATGCTTGCAACCGGAGGGTTCTGTGCATGTCGTGCCAAAGGCATCAGCCATGTCTGGCATCGGAATGGTGTCGCCTTGAGCCTGAATTCTTGACCGCATTTGTTTCAAGCCTGTCTCTTTCTCAACCTCTTGCCATCAATTTTTGTCTTGTTCCTCTTCTCATGCGCCACCTCGACAGCAGAATCAAGTCAACCCTCTTTCCCCCCCTTGCATGTTGATTGTGGTACGGTGAGATCTTATGCAACATGAAAGTTTCGTTTTGGGACTGCCCGGCAACGCTTGTCCATGCAATGGTTCAGCATGGAGTGGAAGGCGGTTTGACTAGCTTTCTTGCCAAATCTACATACCTTTGCATGGTACTGAAGTCGGAAGGAACGAAACTGCGGGTCTATATTAGAACTCTCGGACAACACGTGCTGCAGCCGAGCCTATGACAATTCCCTGCAGTAAGGAAGAACCTCTTCTCCGGTGGGAGAGGACAGGTCAGATCTGTGTTGTGAGCATCCCGGCACTTCGCTTCTCGACTGACTGCCCCTTTCCGTGGATGGTACAAAACGATTGAAGTATCGCACCTCGCTCCCCGAATTCACAGGACTGGCTGTCTAGTTGGAACTCCCGCGGTGCCTTGAAAACGAGCAAGGATTTCCCCGAGTTGCGGGCTACATGGGTTTCCGAGTGCTGATGTGGACGTTTTGCATCCGTTCACACCTTGGACGGAGGCAGAACACTCCAACTCCGCACCAACACCCAAAGAAGCCGAACAACAACGGCAGCAAACTGAAGTTCCCGCGGGGTCCTTACTTGCAGGGCGCACCCACTGCTCACCATGCATCTCAGTATTGTGCTCGCCTCCTCGTCACACGTCTTCTTGGGCAGTTTCCGTACTTTGGCTGTCTGCTTCTGCTATCTCCGGGTTTCGTGCTTTTCTCCACATGCTTCGCAGTGTGCTTCTTCCTGACACGAAGGCTTGCCACCATGATCGCCTGTATGTCTGTTCTCTTGCGGGCACTTTGGGTGCCATGGCTTTCGAGCGACTGGGGCGAGCGTCTGCGCAGAGGCACGCCCTCTGTTGAACTTCTGCATAGCATCAGTCGGGTTCGCGGAATTCGCGTGGACAGAGCTGTCCTGTTTCAAAGCTCATGCGCCAGAGTAGACTCGCATGCCCCGACATCAAAGGCAAGGGCTTGAATATTAGACTGCGCCCGCACTTGTCGTGGGTGCCAAGAAGTCAACTGCAAGCATCGCAAAACTGGCATCTTGGTATCCACTATAAAAATACATCATGAAACACGCGGTCGCAAGTCGCGGCCAGACAAATGGAGGCTTTTTCACTCTCCGCGACACTCCAACAAGCTTGTCTTTCTTTCTGCCGGGGGTAAGGGTCGGCCAGCGACCCAGAGGCCGTAGGCCCCGCCCGATCCCCCCGTTATGGTAGTGAGTGGCCGGCTTTTGGGGTCTTCCTAACTGTGGCAACCGCCAAGCTGTGAGCTCCCAGCTTCATGCTGCAATCCCCCATCCCCGAACACTGAACACGTTTGTCTCTCTCTCTCTCTTGGCTTTCGCAGTCATTCCAACCAGGGCTCTTTGGCAAACTCTGCAGCAAGTGCAGGCCTCGGAACAGTCAAATTGTCAATTCACGTGCATAAGGATCTGAGTCACAATCCACGCGAGGATTACAGCGTCAAACAGGAGTAGTGGGACCTGTACAATCAATCATCCCTCGTGGCACTTGCAGTTAGCTCTTGCTTGGCGGTCGTCTTTTGATTCGCGATTCAAGAAACACAAAAACCACCAGGAGCCTTTGCTGGAAACGATTATTCAAATCTACATTCGCTATGCTTGGAAGAAGTGACTATGTCAAGCCGATAACCACGCTGAGGACCGCTCTTGTCTGTGGCGGAAGAAGTGCCTTGAGCAGTGCGTTGAAACACATACAGATGCTCCCCTTTTTCAGCACTCACGTCTCGACACAAGATTGTGCTTTCCTGCTCATCGCCACGCTTCTCGTTTCTGAATCTTCCATGAAATCCACACTTGCATTGCTTTCTATTCTAGTACAGTATCTGGTTGGCTCCGAGTCCAACATCAATCAACACTCCGCCCGGAACGTCCGTCGCGTCGCGAATGAAGTCGCCGACAAGTGTGACCAGCTGGAACATCTAACGGCTCAGATAGCGCTGCGCGAACCGTGGCATTTTGTCGAGAGAAAAATGCCCATGGCTGTTCCTCAGGTGCCACCACGACAATGCGCCCAGATCGCCAAACCAAAGCTCCCTCTCACCCCCGCCGACAGTAGCTGTTTTGTGCCCTGCCACCGTTGTCAAAGCAAGAACATCCTGTCGTAGTTTCCAAAGATCGAAACAACTGTAGTTGTCAAAACAGCTGTCGAGTTCGACACCGTCTTCGGCCTTCTCGTCTACCGCCTTCCTCTCCCGCAAGTCTCCACAATTTGAGCGCGGCATGTGTCTGCTTGAGTTGCATTATCGGTAGTGATCACTTTGATCGAAATATCTCAAATAATGTGGTTTTAGTGAGGTTATTGGGTGCGATGGGTTTTACACACCGCATCCCTCTGGGCCGAAGCCCGAGTCTGACCAGGTGCCCCGGGGTTCTAGGGTTTCCCACCATCCAGCTTGAGGGCCAGTCGACAGCTCCGCTTGGGTTTGTGGGTCCCTGAGTTTCCCACCCAGCGCACTTGATTCAAGACTAGCACCAGTCGGCAGCAAGAAGCCGCAATCGAGCGGGTTGACACTGCTTGCTTCGGCCTCGAGCTGTGCGACATGCGCGGCCAGCGAGCATTCCAGCTTCCCATCACGAAGAACGACCGCCGCGTGACGTGCCTTCGACGAGAAAGCTTTTGCGTGAAAGCGACAGCCGAGCGAAAGCAAAGTTGCGCACCTTGCACTCCTCGTCCCAAAGCAACGCGGCTTCCTTGCAACCAGCCGCCTGGAGCTTCCGCTCCTGACAGACCAGCCCATAACAAGCAAGATCAAGCATTTTTGTGCAGCCCTAAGCTTCTGGCAACTGATGCAAGATCTAGCCACTTGCCGCCGACCTTCATCGACGCCAGCTCTTAAAGTCACAGATTGGCACAGAGGTGAGCTCAGGAAGGTTGCACTGCGCCTTGGCGAAGCCATCCGCGCGACCGCAGTACTCAAGAGCACCATCCCTCGTCCAGCGTGCCAGATCCCGGGTTCTGCCGAACGGACACTCTAACATTTCCATGCTCAGAGCAAGCCCGAAATTGCTGTAGTTCGTCTAAACGGAAGCCGTTGCCCGCTAAATCAGCTTGGCTTGATTGGCATTCACTGAGCTCGCTTTGCTTGGCAGACTGCTGCAGCGAGCTGCACAGCCCGGCCTGTAGTGGCGCACGAGCTGGCCGTCAGCACCCAACGGCAGGTCCACAAAGGCGCCTGGCGCGTCTGTAAACGCACCCGCGAAGTTCAGGAGTGAGCAAACCCCAAACCTGCGGCCTTCGTTCAGGATAGCTTTGGTGTAGCCTTGTGCGCTGACCTTATGCAGGTGTATGCCAGCATCTGTGGGATGGTTGTATTGCTCGCCGGGACACCATAGGACCGGCGATGTACAGCTCTCCTTAATCAGCTTAAAAGCCCGTGGGACCGGGATGGCAGCAAGGCGTGTTCGGCAAACCAGTCAGTAGGTGCGGACAAGATTCCGACCTCGCCTGACTGACGGCATTCAATCTGAAAGAAAACTGTTGGAAACAGCTCAGTAATAAACTCGGCCCTTGCACAAGCGGAAAGACCAAAGCTACGGATCGCCAATGTACGTACCCTGTGTCCCTTTCACAGCTTCTGCTTCTTTGCCCAACCGTCCCTTGTCCGTCACCATAATTTCAGAACGACACTTCGCTGTTCCACTTGTTACGATTCGTCCTTCCAGTCCCGGAACCTTCCAGTCCCGGAACCATCTAGCTACCCTCCGCCTTCCACTTGTGCCGTTTTCTGTTTCTGCGAACCCCGCCGGCTCGCACTCTGGCGTTTTGCGCTTTTCTGCAGCTTGATTCGGTGCATCACATGCACTCAGACTGCAACTCTCCATGGCCTCCGTGCTTCAGATATGTGTCCTGCTGACCGTCGTCAGCCAAGCTTCGGCGCAAGGCTATTATGTAGTGCGTGCCCTGCTGTGTTTCAGCCAGGCATCTTGATGTCAGGTGTCACTTGCGTTGATCTCCTGCGCCCTGGGCGAAGCTAGAAAGAGACTTCCCAGACGAGATCCGTTTGCTTTACCAAATCAAAAATCTGATTCTTCGCCACTTTCTTCTGCCATCCGCTGTGGCTGAGTGGCTGTTGCTGCTTGAGAGATGCTCTGAAGATTCCTTCACAAGGTGCTCTTAGCAAATTACCCATCCCTCGTCGTGGAGCGCACTTGCGCCTGCAATGGAAACGTCGGGGACAGGTCAATTCAACACAACACAAGAACTGGAAGGTTGGCGACAGAAGGAGGCCTAGCTACTGCCTAGGTGAACAGTCAACGGCAGAGCTGGTGAAGCCTGGACCGGCAAAACAAGCTCAGCATGCAGCTTCAACTCATGGCATGGCATGTCCAAAATCTAGAAGCAATGGAAGAGTCTGAATTGCGCGCGCCTGGTGAAACATGATGCGGCGAGGCGGCATCCTAGTGGCGCAAGCGTGACTTTGCGATCATCTTGTGCTGAAGTCTCAGAGAGTGCCTCTTGCTGTGCCGAAAGCAGCTGGAGCCGTGCCCCGCGCACCGGCCGGAAGCCGTCAAGGCCTGACTTTTTACGTTCGCAAGTGTCGGAAGTTTCTCCAGACGCATCCGTTTTCCAACCAAGAGACTCTGCCGACTCTGCCGGTGGTCGGCGCAAAGCACGAGCCTCGAAAGCTCGACGAGATGCGTTTGTCGAGGTGGCCAAATCGCACCGAAAAGGCAGAGATTCAGATACACTGATACACTCGTGTTTGCATCTGCACTGCTCGACGAGCGGCCAGTACTCACTCGCGATTAGCAAGTCCAGCAGTTTGACTTGGCTTCGCCAAGCCGCAGCCGTCGATGGCCTTTCGGGACGCAGCGACTGCCCTGCATTGTTTGCAGCACTTACTCATTCGGCAGAGAGTCCGCAACGCTTCTCCCCAGGTGAACACGGTGCCTCCAGCTCAAAGCAAGAAGAAGTTTGAGATTCGCGTGAAGGAGCAGACTGCAAATGATGGCTCGGTTTATCATATTTTATCATCATATTTGGGTTGTAGGTCTACATGTACGGCAGCATGCGGCATGAGCACCACTATCTTTCGGCATAGCTGCGCAAGGAGGTGCAGCGCGACATGGTAAGAGCATCGAGAAGAGAAGGCCTCGGCGGACATGAACCGTACTGGGAAGTCCGCGGGGGCTTGTGACCAGACCACAACGAGTTGCACAAGCCCTGCCACAGTGATATGACGCTGCTCGATAGCTTGCGCAACCTCGCACTGCATGCAAGTCAAGCGTTCCGACATGTCCTGGACTGGCGGTGACCTCCACGAGCCCGTGGCGCGCAAGAATCACCTTTGCAGGGCGAGGACTGTGTGCAAGGCACACCCGGTCCACAGCACATGTTGCCCATATATACCTCCGAGGAACTAGGCAGCCACCGCAAGACCAGGGCAGATCAAACAAACCCAAACCTCAGGTTGGACACGAATGGCACTGGCAACTGCCTTGCGCAGGGATGTTTGTGCAGCTTGTCATTGAAGCTAAGTCGTTCCACAAGTCGCGCCCCAGAATGCAGAGGTATGATGCAAGATTCGGTCCTGCAAACACGAGCCATCAAACTCGGCGCTCAATCGAGGAATGAAACATCTCAAAGCATCCAATTCGGCGAGATCGCGGCCAGAAGCAACTGAACCAAACCCGCCCACTCACATTACCAGCGCCCTTACCTTTCACTGTCTTTTGCTGCCGAGGCTGATTTCTTCATTTCTTCAACGACCCTTCGCCTGTGCACGATGCGCGCACTGCGTTGCAAGCATCATCCGACATATGACTCGTCTGAAAAGGCAAGATCAGTCCCAAGCACTTCCTGCGAACCTGCAAGGCCTGTTTAGCTTTGCTTTTTTTCCTGCACCGTCGAAGGTTTTGGTTTGCCGGTCGACCCGAATGGCGATGTGTCCGCTGCATTCGGAGGGGCGGGGGGCCTCTGGCTCTTTCGGCAGAATACGAGATCCCAAGGAGCAGCAAACCACAAAATTTGTCTCGAAATGACCCTGAACATCTGCTTTTTGCCTACGAAATCTGAACTTGCCAAAGCCTGAGCCTTCCTTCAATCTCTGCCTGCCAGGTTAGCACAGACTACTCGATGCCAACCTTGCAGTTTGCAAGGTACAGGGAGGTGAGCTCTCCGCATGAAGAGTGGGACTTGGGGACGGTAGTAGTTTAGTTGCCCTCCTCCACCCAAGCCCCGGAGGTGACAGGATGATATGGGGTATTGTGGCTTCCAGAGCCAAAAGAGTATCCCTGAGAAGCATATGGGATGTGCAGCAAGATGGGCGGTGTCTGTCCAATCCTGGAAGGCTTCTTGGACACGGCGTTTCATCCCGAGGCCGAGCAACTGTTGCGAAGGCAGAGACCCCTTTCCTAGCTTCAAACAAGAGAGGAAGGATGCGAACCTCCCGGATGTGGATTTTCTCTCGAAATTTCAACATGCGCAGAGCTTGGGCAGGGTGGATGCAAGCACGTGTGTAGTGCCATGAAGCTACAGCCTGCAAGATGATCGCAGTATTCTGCTTTACACCGGCCCACATTAAGAGAAACCCTTGTCGTATGGTAGTGCCCTGACCGACCTCATTGCGTGTCGGAGTGTCGCTGCGCAAAGCAATAACTCGGCCATCTACGAGCAGCTTCGATTCGTCCTGGTGGCAGCTTAGCCATTTACTGAGAGGGCAGACGGTGAAGCCTGCAACGTAGACACACTCGGCCACGTAAGCACAAAACGCCAGTTGCCATGTTGCTCAAACAGATGAGCCATGATGGACCTTGGTAGGGGGAGGCCCCAACCTCACTCAATGTTGCCGGGACCTTGGCCCCTCCTTGTGCTAGCTCTGAATCAATCATCCACTTAAACTGTTGAGAAAGGACCAGACAAGGTCCTGGACGCAATGTTGACCTAGTTCTCTGCAATTCCTCTTCTAGCCCTGTGCCGGGCTTCATTTGCTAGGGGAGGGTGGGTCTGGTGCAGGCGTGGGACCTTGCACAACGACACTGCCTTTGTGTTTGGGGTCCTTCTGAATTTGCGTTGTTTGCGTGGTGGAGGGGGGGGCCCTCTCCCCCCCTTTAACTACTGTGAAAACACGATAAGGCCCTACGGTTGATGATATAAATCTTGCATCACCCATGATAAGGAATATACCATAATTCCCATAGTTTAGGGCCCTTAAGGTAATGCAGGATTTATACCATCAACAGTAGCACCATTTGGACCTGAGTCACAGAAACTGAGTAAATTAGTAAACGACAACTCCCGCAAGCTCCACAGAGCTAGCTTTCGTGACTTGGAAAACCTGAACAGCTCTACACAACCAATGGTACTTTCAATGTACTTTCGGCAAGAATGCTGAATCCGGCAGGCGATCCAACTTGTGCTGCTCGAGACTCTGTCGGGTGGAGGTGGGGTTCCCCTTTGTTAAAGGGGGCAGGCTGGAATCCCAGTGGTTCGGGCACGTCAGCGTACCCAAGCTTGTCAACACAGACTGGTGCTGCCGGCTTCCCAGATTCACGGGCAGTGTCGGTGTCGAAGCTTGTTGAGCAAATTCATTCGACAGCGTCGAGCGCAGGCGGCTCCCCGCAATATCAAGCGTGCTGAGAGCTCCTCGCAGGTCATCACACCAAAGTCTGGATATGTCCGAAGCTCGTGGATGGCCATTCCTGCAGGCCACACATGCGCCGTGGGAACCTGGCATCTCCTTTGCACCACAAATCTGCCGAGCTGCTGTGAGTCTGCACCACACACTTCGAGGCTGCTGTAGTCCCACCTGGCTGACAGCAAAATGAAAGGGCCTCTCAGCACGTCACCCGCGAACTCTCTGCACTTGTCACCGAGCTGATTTCTGCCAGATGCTACTGTGGACTGTAGAGGTTCAAGGCGAGTGAATCATTTGCAGAATGTGCTGTGACGTTTCCCCTGCCTGTGTATACCAGCCACAGTGCATCGTCCAAGTGCCTTCCACCGCCAAAGACGCATAAATGCAAGCAGCACATAGCTCCAGCACACAGCTCCAGCATGCACTCGCTGCACTTCGAATCACTCCGGCCTGGCTCCCCAGGCCTGCGGTCTCTCATAGCACGCAGCCACCTGGCGCCAGATAGCTTACCATGAGCAGTCTTACAAGAGCTTCTGGAAGAATGGCCAGGTCACGACTTGCCTGTCTGCTGTGCAAAGTGTCAGCGAAAACCAAGGCTGCGCCATTTGCGTGAGACCTTGGCTTCAAAACCGTTCAAGCAAGCTTCAACCTCAGTTTCACGCTGTTCTTTTGCACACAGGTGGAGCTGGCTGCCCAGCTCTAGCAGCGGCGCCGTTGCAGCAGCATCACGTACGGCATGCTCGAGGACCAGCAGCCTTTGCTTCGCTTTGCTCCGCTTTGCTTCCCCGCTTCGCGTCGCTTCGCTTCGCGCGCCTCGGCCTGTGCTCGGCGAGCGCGTCCCTGCTGCGAAGCACCTGCTTGGGATGCTCTAACAGGGGCGTCGGGCCCCGGCAGTACCAGCCTTATGGCCGTATGGAGGCCTGGACCATTCCACGGAACCCACGCCAATTGATCCCGAAAACTCAAATCACACCACAAGAACCGGACTTCAATAACGTTGGCTACCTCTTCCTCGGTGCCCAAATCGCAGCTAAGAGCCAGCCTCAGTCATAACGCTGAACGAGAGCCAAGCTCTCCGAGCCCTCTGAGATCTGAGCTCCGTGCACCGGGCCCAAACGGCTGGCTGCAAGGCAGCTGGCGACCCACAAGCAGCTGCGGCGCAGCAAAAGAGCGACCTGAGCAACCTAAAACATCCCACCATTTTGGCAGACGCGACGCACGACGCACGACCAGCCGGAAGCGGAGATGCCGAAGGGTGCTCACATCCGAAGCCCAAGCCGTGGGAAGAACGACCAAGCCCAGAAGCCTGGAAGGAGTTCAACAACCACAACATGATGATGGCAGATGCAATAGTTAACAGCTTAGCAAGATTGATGGCTAGCAAACTCTAAGCAAGGATGTAAAGGAAAAAGATTGCTTACAAGTCTTAGACACCCACCACCTGGGTACCAAATTCGCCACGTCTTGGCACAGACATCAGCCACCGGACATGAGAAAGAGATTGTTGCAGCTGTGAGCTTGCACTTGAATTGATCATGTTGTGCGCAACACGTATTGGGATTGCCTTTAGAGTTGGGGGGCAGGGTGGGGTGGTTGCCGAGGGAGTGGAGGCAGTGCATGACGATTGTAACTTCAGTGCCGCTTGCATTGTTTCGTCTGTGAGTCGACTGCATGCCGCGTACCGAATGCAGCTGAACCCGGAAATGCAAATTCGCAACACACTTTTGCTGCTTGATGCCGGTCATGGGCCAAAGTGAATCAGCTTGTAGGTTTTAAGGACAGGATGATACAGGATGATGCAACTCGGCGATGCCAAACCCCAAAAAACACGGCGTGCCGGCGCAAGCCCCAAGCAGGGAAAGACACGCGGCACATCACTGCAAGACGACTCGAGCCACACCGGGACCGTATCCACTCCAAGTGTACCATCTTGCTTACCTCCGTTCAGGCACCACTTCAGGACCACTCCCAGAACGAATCCGGGTGCAACATGCGATCGGCATTGCAGTGAGAGCACAATCTACATCCCAACATGCACACGGCACCGCGCCCAGCGCGCGGAGGCCAACAGTGGCGAGAAAAATGCGAGTGCGGCGCTGGCGAAAGCACGATGAACGAAACGATGAAACCGCGGCGAGAGCACGTGTGGCACAGCACGACGATGCAAAAAGCATGAAGCGCCAAAAATGCACAGCGGTCGGGTCGAGAACGCTGGCACGCATGCCTCGCTGAGCACCCTTTTCTAGTCAGAGCCCTGTTCAAGGGAAGGCAATGGACCCGGACCCCAAAAAGGTGTGCTAAGCTGCTAAACTACGTGACACGGGCATGCGCCATGTGGTTTCGCATATGAACTACCAACACTGAAAACCAGAATGTCCGGCGGACTCCTGCAACTTGCAACGCTCAGAATGGAGTCCCTGCATGAGCTAAAGACTGTGGTCCAAATCGAGAGTTCAACGGAGGCTTGCGCTCGCTCATTGCAATGTTGTCTTCGCGATCCGGGGCTCTCACAACAGGCGGTGCATCACCTGCCGTGCCGTGCAGCTCAGGCTCACACGAGCTAAGGCGTAGGTCCCAACCGGATCCTTCGGCGCCTGTCATGGGCAGCATTTCCAGGAACCCGTTTGCCAGGCGAAGTGATGCCTCCGGTATTGGAACACACGGAAACATGATACGACTCTGCCACGGAGCGAGATGCGCCTGCTGAAGCTCCAAGTACGTCCAGGCACAACCAAACTCGTCCTTGAGGGATTGCTTAAGCACGTGACACCGGTGCTGACGAAAAGTAACCGGTTCAAGCAGTGCGGCTTAGAGGGGAATTGGCCCTTCTCGTGCCTGTTCAGAAGCAACTGTTTACGGAGCGTCGGACTTTGTTTGCGCTCGCGCTGACAAAGCAGCACCCAAGAAGCTCCAAACCAATGAGATTCAACAGCAGAAGCGCCATATCAAATCTACGTTGCCGGTTGTCTCCTCAACAGCTGCTCTTTGAGGGTATCTTGTGGCGAGCTTGTCGAAAGCCTGCATAGTGGCAAACACGAGTGCTAGAAGACGAACAGGGACAACGCCATGCCCAGGGCAGCCGCAGAACTCTTTCCAGCACATGTGGTCATTCGACCCTATGAAGCTAGATGCAGAATCTGGCCTTGCAGTGTCCAAGACACTTGGCTTGGATGCACCAGCACTCAAACAAATAGGCGTATGCAGTGATTGCAAAGGTCCTCCACCGCCTATGAACTGCTTCTGGGACCCCGGACCCGAACTGACCCGAACGTGACCCGAACCTCCTCCCTGCCTCGTCCAACCCGACGAGGCCTTCTAAGGACCACTGATCCTGGACGCACGGGACACAAAGACGGATGGAACTCTCATGCTGCAACGATTCGGCCTTTCCTCCTCCATCATTGTAGCTTCCTGCCATTCGTGTCCACTTACACAGGGCCGCTTGGCATTCGCAGGGACTTCGTCTGTAGCCTCGGCATCTGCAGAAAACAAGAGAAAGTCTGCACCAGAACACCAAGTAAAAGTGGCGGTGCACTCTCAAAAACATGAAGAACAAGAACCTTCTGTGAATGGCTTCCACTCGCTCTGTGAACTCTTCAGCTTGAGCCAACGGTCAGACCTCGAGTGCCATCGCGCGTCGCTTCATCCGGTGAGTCCTCATCTCTCGCATGGGAAGTTAAGAAGTGCCCCCGTTTGTGCACGCAAGCAGTTGCCTAGGCTATATAGGGAGACGTTCAAGCTTCATACTTACACGAGTTGCAATGCGCGAGTTCCGAAGCTTGAGTCCCTGACGCCTCGTGGATGCGCTGGCACCGAGAAGAGAGCTATCTCGAAGTTCGAGATCGAGCCTTGCATTGCATACCTTCACGTACGCGAGTTGACATGAACAGTGATTCCGCATGATAACAAACCTGGCTCTACTTTGCGAAGGTTGCATAGATGGTGCTTTGCTGCAAACTTGTCGAAGAGCCTATCTGGGCTAATTCCCTTTCGACATACGCCATCATGCGAGACCACCGTAACCCTCCATAACCCCACCACTCGTTTTGAGCCAACAGTGGCAAGCCGTGATTGCCTTGCACGAATAACTGCAGTCTATACATCACGCCCTCACAAGGGTCCGATCCGCAAAATGCTCTTCGCTGCAACAGCACCAACAGAGCGGCTGACGAATGCTTGACATCATCAAATTGCACACAACTCGCGCGTGTGCCTCTTTTGGCAGCTTTGGCTCAAACTCTCCTATCTCCGCCTGTCTCCTTCTCTATGACGTTTGCTTCGCTCAGCATCTGGCCAACAAGGGAATGTGCAACAAGAAGCAGCAGCTCATCCACACATCTGCATCATGCATGGATTTATCCGCATACTGGAAGCCTCTAACTCTCAGCACATCTGTGCTTTCCAGCACTTGCTCGATGCTTATGAATCATTTCAAGTTCCATCGCAGACAGGTGAAGCCTGCGCATGGCTTTTTGGTGCTGCTCTTGCCTCTACATCCGCCGAAGCGATGTCCTGAGCCCTCAAGCCCAAACCCCGAGACCCTTCCCTTCACACTGCCATTCTCTTGTGTAGCTTCTTCGCCTGCTACATCCCCGTGCAGTTGACGCCGATTTGCCTCCAAACCGGCTACAAGCAAGGAAGAATAAACTCCAAAAAAACAAAAGGAAAACCAAAAGCAAACGTACGCATGGCATAGTATAAAAGTTTACAACATCATTGCGAGAGCATGTCTGCTATGAGTCTTTTGCAGCGGAACTTAAAGGGCGTCCTTACCGACAAATCAACAATGAGCGGGACAGACATAAAAATCCTCGGCAACATTCCAGGACGCTCAACAGCTCAATGTGCAGGTCATCGCAGGTACTAGTATCAAACTTGCTTTTGCAGTCCCTGACTTCGGTTCGGAGTAGCGGCTCGGCCGTTGGTTGGGCGGTGATCTGCGGTGCAAGCTTTGGACCTGGAACATCACAACTGCCGCCGTCCGTCGCGTCGGGTGAGTCCAGAGATAAAGCATGATAAAGCTCTGTTTCAATAAGGCTGTGGTTCGGCCTTGCAGGCATCTGAACTGGACTTACAGCCAGCACCACAAGATGAACATGTCCATGCAAAGCTGGGTGCAAAACCCCGGATCAGCTTTGGCTTGACATGGGAAAAATCTGAGCCGCCCGACCAATCGAAGCTCGGACAGAAGCTCCTCGCCTTGTGCCGAGACAGTCCATGCACCTGCAAAGCGAAGACACTGCGGAGACCAGTGACTCCGTGACTCCCGTGTTTATGAAGCCGAGCCTGGCCTGGCGAGTCGGTGCGAAGAACACCTCCACTTTCTGAAACCTAAAAGGCTGAGGCAGCTCATGCAGCGTCGTCAGCCGAGCCTAGCGGCCTAGCGGACTCGAGATCTCAGCATGCCGCCAGGAGCTGGCCCGCAGCCAGCTCCGCACCTGGCGCCGCCACGAACGCGCCCAGTCGGCCGCATGCGACCTCTGCAAAGGCCGCGCCCGAGAAGGACGCGCAGCGCGTGAGACAGCAAGCGAGGCGCTTGCCCATGCAAGGCCCAGAGCAGCACTGGGAAATACCTCGAAGCGGAGCGAATGCAGTGCAGACTGGGGGATTTGCCGACGTGGCCCGGGCCCGAACACCAGCCGAACGAGGTGGCCCGGCGTAGTACAGACCACGGAGGCTTTGCAGAGACCGCCTGCAGAGCCCAGAGCCCCGACTCCAGCTGCAAGTGCCGCTGCTGACGCTGCTGCCGCCCGAGGCCTCGGATCGCCCGACGCCTCTGCCCCTGGCGACGCTCAAACCACAACACTGCTCCCAGTCTTGGGAGGTGGAGGCTTCTCAGAACGACATGGCAGATTCTCTGAGCCCAAGAACATCAACATGTTGCAGCATGATGCAAAGATAACAGATGCGCGCCTATGACGACATCGCACAGATGGCCCGAACCATGACGGCCTGCACACAGCCGAAGCTCGACCCATGCCCGCCGCTACTGGTAGCGAACTTTCGGAGAAGAGCCCAACAACCGCCACAATCAGGGTCGCTGGCACAGGAGAAGAGTATGCGTTTTCGGCCAATCCCATCACAGACAGACTGATTGTGTGGGCGGCTGCATCCACTTGCACCAACGTGGCACGCAGTTCTTGATCGTGCCACGGATTAGCTTCATGGACGCGCCGCCGAAGCGAGTCGTCTGGAGAATGCCACTCGGCACGTGTTCGCAGCAAGATGTCGGGATCTACTCCTGCTTCACGATGGCGCTGGCACAACCAACAGAAATCTCGATGAGCGAAGACCGCGGAGAGCAAGACAAGATGTTGATGAAGTTTCTGGTCGAGGCCCTTATTCGGCCGACATTTCTGCAACATCCAATGACGGCACGTGTCCATGTGCGAAGGTCTCGTTCATGCAAATCTGCTGTGCTGGGAATCAACGTGTTCCAAGTCGCCTGAGAGCGGCGTACCATTCAGCTCAGCACCATAATGCTTCATGGCGGTGAATAGCCTCCGGGGCAAGGAAGATTCTTCCCTCGGACCATGAGCTTCCCAACAACCTAGCTTTACACCTCTCATCACTTCTGATATGTTGGCATTGTACTTTGGTTGTACGTTGCTGCCTGAGGCTCAGACTCATCGCGCCATGGGTCGAAAACGACAGCAATCGCGTCACCTTGATCAATCTTACCATGCTACTGAAGGCATGTGTTTGTATATGTATATGACATGCCATACCTGTGCCAGGCAAGGACCAGGATGTGTGAGCACAGGAATCTAAGCCACGCGAGGGCCAAGCCGCAGAATCGAGATATATCAGGGCGGGAGGGTGGGCGAACTGTGCCTCCACACTGGGAGCTGACGCTGGTTACGAACGATTAGGACCCAACCTTAGCACGAGCAAACCGTGAGCCGTGCTAAAATAAGCCGGTGTCTGAGAAAGCATGAATTGTGGTCCCCCCAGCGAGAGATTATCACCAAGCTTATCGATGTCTCCTGGCCTTCGAGTGAGGATGCGAACAGGACGAGGATCGCCTCCTGTGTTTCAAGTATCCATAAGTTTTCGAATCTCACCGAACACATACTCTCAAGCAAACCCTGGCCCCGAGAATACTCAAACCCCGATCCTCTGGCAGATAGTCGCTGTTTCCCATCACCTGGCTGACAAGCTTCCATGCGAAGCTAACATGCTTGAAACTGGCGAGCATGCCGGCAGCCACACCCAAAGAAAAAGGCTTGGAATGGATGGCAACCTGCCTGCAATCAACCGGCCGCAAGGCCCAAAGAATCAATCCGAACGCCCTGCGGTCACTGTTCGGTGGCGAAGACTGCAAAAGTCCTCAAGCACGGCTGCACCGCCCATGTCCACGATGAGTGCGAAGACTGTCCACGACCCTCAGGTCTGAGGAATGTATTCTAGGGCTGGCATGCAAGTGCCTTGTTTCGTCTAGCCGACAGGCGTCTGGAAGCCCCGACCTTTGCAAGTGCTCTGCTCTTCAGACGAGTTTCACTCGGGAGAAGTTGGAGAGCAGTCGCGGAGCTGCAAAGCGTTTCTGTCTGGTGGCCCCTGAGAGTTCCATGTAGAACATGAGACTGTGGTAGGGAATTTTACGTCTGTGTACATGCACCTGCACTTTTTGTGAAGCAAACAAGTTGAAGGGCTTCTGACACTAAGCATCTCCCTAGAGGCCCGACAACAAAACAAACCACAAGAGCAAGACGACAAACACGTTTGAGCGGCCTCCGCTGACTATGGCCTATTTGTGATTGTGTGAGATAGTGTCGAAAACATTAGCTGCAGTCGAGCCTGCCTCCTCGTGAAGTGCCAACGAACAACAGAACAGGAACCGAGTGCGAGACAGTTTCGTGATCGGGAAACATCTCTCGAAGGCCTTGCAAGTGCCCGGATGTAGCGATGATAACATGCAGAGTGTATTAGGGCTAGGCATATGTGTGTGTATGGATGGCTATATATATATATATATATATAGAGAGAGAGAGAGAGGTACATAGATATATATACATATATGCATATATACACATGTATACGTATTGATGTTTGTTACAATCTCTTTATAAAACTTCGCGACGAGGCGGGAGCTCCGTGTTTTATCATCTGGTTGATAGCAGGTTGCTTCCAACACAACTTCAGTTCATGCAATCCGAAAGAGGCTGAGGCGCATGTATGATGGCCCGAAGCAATCGTTGTCATCTGATATTGCAACCACCTGAAGCATGCTCCCGCCCTCCTTGATGGAAGCTGTCAGTTCGTTTGAGAGCGCGCTGGGTTTCTTGTGCACCCTTCATGTGTCACCTCGCCGCCTGTCCCTCGCAAGTGGAAAATCGTCGAGGTGACTTCCAAGGCCGAGAGTTGGCGAAGAAGGAAGAGAAACTTGCTCCACGTAGTGATGCAAACAGCAATTGAGCTATGGATGAGTATGGCAAAAGGATGAGTTTTTCGCAGAAGCAGCCGTCGGCGTGCCAAACAGATTGACACTCGCAGACAAGAGAGATCCGTCTTGCATGCCTGCTTCTTATGCTTGGTCTCTGTGATGAGGGAAACCACAACTGGGACTCTCTTCCTGCCTGGTTTGGTCCAGATAGAGCAAAGTGGACATGAAAGCACATGTTGGCAAAGGGAGTGGTAAGACCCCCATGTGTGGCAAAGGTGGTGAAAATTCGTCCACTGGAGAAAAACGGAGAGCGGGCAGACAAACCGAAGTGACAGACACGGTGCACTTCAACACACTGTACAGTAAAAGAAGCGCAGACACTTGCATCGGCTCACCACACTAGTCAAGACAGGCAAGGCCGCACAAGTTTCATGAGGCAGATCAAGCTCATGTGCTTTGTAAACGTGATGCCTGTTTCCAGAAGCTCCTTCCAGTTCAAGCCGGGCTCCTGGCAGATCGATTTCTGAGAGTGAATGGCACGGTCTCAACAAAATCCGACACATCCCACATCCCGCACACGACTCTGCGACTTTTGTTCAGGCGCCTCTGCACTTGACATCACCCAATCACAGCTAACACCTTCAGCATGGCTGTGAAAGGACCCTTTTAAGGCTTGGCCTTTCAGGATCCGCCTGAGCTGGATGCAAGTCCCTGCAAGATCGCAGGCAGGCGTGCGCTACACCGAGTCAATAGGCTGCTACCATCTATCTGCCATCAACGCTTGAAGGCTTGGAACTTAGGACTTGCCCAGCAGGAATTTCGATGCCGAAGACAGCATCCTGAACATGGTCTGGCAGACCACTGTCCAACGCAGGAGCCTAACTGTGCCATGCGCGGTGCTGTGCACTAGGCTGCCTTGACAACTTTATCGATTCTATGTATCTGACGAACTGACCATTTCAACGAACTGGTTGTGATGACTCCCGGATAATCTATATTGATTTACAACATAATACGACGTGGCGCCGTGGGTATGCGAGCTTCGCAGGTTGGAGGCTTTTCGTGGTTTGGACTCTTCTTGTATCTTCTGCTACACTGCAAACTTGAATTTCAGGAATTTCCCGATTCTTCAGACTTGCTTTCGTATGGCCGCAGGCTAAGGGATGCTACAGGATTCGGCTTCATGAGAGTGAAGGTCCTTCGCAAGTCGTTCGGGATGCGCAGCTCCGATGGGGCGGGTGGTTTTCTGGCGTACAAGACTCTTGATTTACAGCTAAATAAAAATAAAACGCGCGTCCTTGAAGGCCTTGGCGTTCATGAACATGCACATGACAGCACAACGGCAGCTTTTGGCTGAGTGGGGCACTCTGAAAGGCTCCCAGTTCACATCCGTGGGCATGCCTACGCCTCTCTGGCTTCAGTCTCCAGACGAGGTTTCACACCGAACTCAACGACAGAAAGGCTCTGATCCGTCATACTGCTTGCTGTTTTGGATACCATCTCGCCGAAACTCCGAATAGACTTGCAAAGACTTAAAGAATCTGATTGTGGGGATCGAAACCTGCCTTCACAATCCCGTGTAAGAGAACATGCAAGCAGCAAGACACCGGAGCACAGGCGTGCACGCCAGCAGCGGAATCTGTTAACCTGTGTTTACGGCCAAGTACCTTCACAGTGCACACCTGGATGCATTTGCCGCTCCAGCACAAGGCTTTCCAAGTAAAGGTGCTCGACACGTCCTCACTTCGGCTGTTAAGTGGTTGCGACACCCCACTTCGGCTTGCAGCAAACACCAACAACAACGTAGTGCCTAGCGCAAGTCCGGTCAAAACCCTTGCGAATTGACAGATGTTGAGCGATGTTGAGTGTAGGTCTGAAGGTGGACGATCACCGGACACAGTCTACGAGCATCTTTACCCCGGCGCAGCCTAGTGGCTGGATGTCCCCACTCTGAAGGCCACACGGGGAGGGTCCGACAAGACAAGGATTTACACACTGTTTAAGATCGGAACTTTGCAGTCCCGAGCCTTTGCCCAAGAACGCATCAGTTGCAGTGTCGCGACGTGTCGCGACGTGTCGTGTCACTCCCGTTTAAGCAGGCGGGGGATCGGAAAATCCAGCCACGTAGCGTGCCCTGACCAATGGACTTTAACCCCGACAAGACTTGCACATTGAGAATTCCCATGTGTCCTGTTGCTCCTGATGCTGATGCGGACCAAAGCCGAGGAAGACCATCAAGTCGACAGTCACTGAAAATTCAAGACAAAATCAGCAGTCTGTCTTGCTGCTGTCCGCACCGCTTCACGTCCCCCGGGCATGGGTAGAACCATGGCGAGAGATGCAAACATCGGTAGTCCTGCTGAAGACTTGGAGCACATTCACGTTTGCAAGCTACATCGCCCAGCTTCGCGTGGGCGTTGAGCAACGGCAGTCTCAGCTATTCTTGCACTCATTTTAATGTGACTGTGCTGCAGACATAATGATCGTCTCTGGGCTATGGTGAGGCCAGCTCTAAGGCTCACACGCCGCTCTGCCATCTACTCGATCATTCTGAAGGATCCGGGATCGAAACCAGCAGAGGTCGTGTGCCATGCGCAGATCAGCAAAGGCACTCGTGGGCTGCTGATTGCCTGCTGAATGGACACCTCTCTACTGAATCTTGCGTTAGACGGGCCTACGGTGTGATGAAGTAAGGTGACAAGACAGCAGCCTACGTTCCTGAAAAGGGACTCTGAGGAAATGCACCCGGGATCCGATTCTAAACGAGTCCTGCACTTGTGCATGGACACCATCCAGAGATATCAGACATCCTCCGCTGTGTGCGGAGGACATGTGGAACAACGACCGTTTCCGCCTGCACTCCTTGCACTTCTAAACCCACGACACGAGCTTCTTCCACTTCGTATGGCCACGGGCGCGGTTTAGGCCGGAATCGCTCGTGACATGCTACAGTAAAAGCATCGAGCATGCACCGAGCATGCTCGCGAATCATCCGCTGCCGGCTCGCAACGGCTCGCATGCTCGCATGACCAAGGCGCCGCAATGCTGCTATCATCGGAGTACCTGAGAGACCGAGTGACTCCATCGCGAGCTTCCACTCTTTGCTCTGAGACGCGACCGCACCGGCCTTGGTCACTGCGTAGTGCGTCCATCTAAGATCCTGTGCAGAGCACGGGCCAGGAGTTTGAATGATCATCTCCAAGACTGAAGTACTGAAACCTGAGGCGTTCAAAACAGGAGTAGAACGTAGAATGTAGGATGCACGGCTGGCATGGCCTTCGGTCGTTGATGTCAACTGCCTCAGCTGTGGACTCGAGAAGAACTGCACACGGGACTTCCTCGACACACCGCAGAATGAGATGGTGTGGGTTTTCATTTCTTCTTGGCCGTACCAAGATAAGATGCGTCATGCAAGGGATGGTGAACACACTACTCCGCACACTTGCCCTAACACATCTGTGGGAACGCAGCGGTTTTCATTCAACATACACCTCTAGATCGGTCTGCTGACAGAGCAGATGACATAATTCGTGTAAAAACCATGCCATGACATGTGCTTCCCGCACATGCCGTGCTTCATTGATTGGGATGTCGAACAGAGAATGCCTGCTCCAGAGCAGAGTGTCCTTAAGGCCAGCCTGCCTTCTCAATTAACTTACCCATACAGCCTGATGAACAGTATGCACATGCTCACTCCATAAAAGCCTTCCGGCGCTTGTACGAAATCTCTTGGAAAAAAAGGAAGAAGCACAAACCACAAGTTCCATTTGGCTGCCACACCCATGAACATAGGATTGAACATCTCTCCGCTCGCTTACCATCCCCTGCATCTTCGCATGTGAGAAATGATGAGATCGCCTGAGGCTAAGCTCGCCACTCCGAGCTGGCCATCCTGGAGTCTGCATGCAGGAAAGTGAATTCTGCTTGAGCCGCATGATGCCGCATGTCTTCACAGCGTCCTTGCCAGGAGCTGTGGGACGGATTCCGTGAAGCGGCTCATCGCCTCGCGACGTCTCCGGAACTGCACTGCCGCACTGCCCTGAGCAAAGCTCTCCTGGCCTCCGAGTGCTGTCTCAAGGCTGTCGGCAATGTCTGGCCCAGAGTCAGCAGAGCTTCGGTGCTCCTCGCGATGTCCTCTGCAATGGAAGATATGACGGACAGCCTGAGACTGGCCCCTGGTGCTTTACTTCAAACTTGCGACGAAGCCGCAGCCACGTGCTGCGCAGCCAATGCATAGGCCGCGGCCTGCCGGCATCACACGAACGCACGCTTCCTTCACAGGAGGAACTCGCTCCAGATTCCGTCTCTTTTTTAGAAAATCACACTTTGTCTGTAGCTTTGACTCCCCACGGCCAGAACTGGGATCCATGCGTGTCGTCAGCTTCGGTGCCGTGTTCCAAACCGTGACTGAAAGCGTCCAATCATCCCTCTCCCTCTGTGTCCCTTTCACAGCCTCAAACGTTCTACAAATGCATGCACTCCCACAGAGCTTGGCAGTAATGCCTCCATCTCGGCCGCCTCAGATCGACATGATTCCAAAACGATGCCGAAAACATCAGCAACTTTCAAAGACTAGCGACTGTACGAATATGAACCAAGCATCTTGGAATTGGAGCTTGTCGTCTAACTTGTCAGGGGCCTTTTCCTCGCAAGAGAACACCCTCGAGAAGGATGTTGACACTGCCTCACCCCATCCTCAACGAGCTTGCGCGATGGATTGTCATCCTTGATCTCGCCCATATCCTCAACACTAACATACGCTAACGCCGCATCAAACTACATGTCACGGCTGAACGGTGCACTCTCTTGGCAAAATCGGTGCCTGAAGGAGCTGCAGGAATTTACAAACCACAGTTTCGATTAGCATAAGCTCTCACGCAAGATGCAGACCTCGGAGGGTGTTGGCAACGTCTGAGCCTGCAGCAGGTCAACCTATCTGCTAGTGCTTCCAGAAAAAACCACAGGGCCTCTTCTAGCTTTGTTTCCGGCGGAAAGAGGACTGCCTTGCAGAACTCAGCGACCGACACTGAGCTTGGCTGATCTTCGGCCAGTGTACAGGGCCGGGGACTGCCTCTGGTTCATCCTCCTCCGTGTCCAGCGCCAATGTCTCGAAAACCTGTCTGCCGGCAATATCAGGTGTTGCAGCATGGACGACGTGCTGTTCACGTTCCATATCAGACTCCTGTTCCAACCATGTTCGTGAAAGATGTCCAGAAGTTGCTGACCTTGCTGTCGCTCAGCGCCATCGTTACAGGACAGCAAATGTCTGGCCCACCGGCCACGAAGCACCTCCGGCTGCGAGGCTGTAGCGAACTTGATAGGCTTTGTAGAGTTAGTAGACAATATTACAATATGCAATTCTTCAGGCAGTCGCATGTCAAACGGCAAGTCAATGCTCAAGCCCGAGGCCACAAGAGAGCTGTCAGCGCATGTTCTTTAACGTTTGTCTGCGTCCTCTCGGCTCTGCTGAGCCCCCTCATCCGCCGCTTCTACAGTGTCCACACGAGTCGGCCGTCAGACCCTCCTGCCAGCTCTTTGTTGCAAACCTGGCGTTCGGTGATTTCCTTCTCGACCTGTCGCTCTGCTTGAGCCTGCAGAGCGACTTCGCACTCTTCCTCGTCCATGACTGCTGGGCATGTTCTTGCATCGTACAGGAGCCCATGTACTACTGCCGACAGCAATCAAACGGCTCTAGAGTTGAGTGGACGAGGTGCACGTTTCTTCCGACACGTGCTCAGGCCGCAGCGTTTGATGACTTCAAGCCCACCGGTATGGTGTAAAAACAGTCTAAGCCTAAGAAAACCCCATGACAACTACATACGCACAGGCTGCAGGACCGGCGGTGGCAGTGACCAGCATCATTGAGGGAGGGAGGATACTGCAGCAGCAATAAGAGTGACCGAAAGTGCTGCAACAAGTAGAGGCACATATGAGGCTGTGCACGTGGATTCAGAAACTGGGCATGGATCAGTGGGAGAGGACGACGACAGAGACCGACCCGACCACATCAGGAGGAGAGCCCAGGATGCCGGAGTGGCGTGCAAGCTTTGCTCTCTGGGATTTTAAGGGGTAATGCTCTTCAGATGTACAGATAGAATTCCATGTTCTGCTCTTTCACAGTTGCACCTCAGCTCGTCAACATGCGTCTTGGCACTGGGCTTTGTGCTGGGAAGATGATCTGACATCCTCAGCAGCTGATTGGGAAACCGGACTGCTCCGAGGACTCGAGAACATGAAGTAGACATCTTAAGCCCCGTGCTCGTGCATCAGCTGGAGCAAGCTTTGATTCATTTCCTTTAGTGCCGTCTCTTCAGAAAGTTGTAGACTTCACGCATCCGAGACCGGCCTTCTGAAAGTGCTCCAGGGGAAGGTCGTTGTCGTCCTGGCCAAATGGCATCTCGAGCTGGGCAGCCACCTGTGTCAGAGCTTGCCAGGCTCTTCTACGAAAGGTCGAGGGCGTCTGCGTTGTCTGTGCGTTTGGAGTCAGTTTTGAACTTGTTTGAATCGGCTGGATGTCAATTTCTGGAGAAGTGTGCTTCCGCGATCTGTTTGGTGCCCTCGTCCTACGCATGAAGATTAAACATGTCACAAGCCTCACGGCACTCCTGGTGATAACATGCCGCGTCAATAAGCCAACTTTCCATGACATAGACAGAGACCTGGATAACTGTGAGCCCCGTGACAAGACCGGGGTGTAGAAGAGGATTCAAGCTAATCTTTGAAAGAAGCCTGCCCCAACTTTGGGATCGATTGGCTACTGCGACCTACCGTGCATAAGACCACACGTTCTGCTTGCCCCCTTTATCAAAATCCCAGAACCCCCTTGAGGGTTCAGTTGCAGGGGTTGTTTCGCGTCGGTCTTTTTCAAAGTTTCCTGCTTTACATACGGGGAAAACCTTTATTGGTACGACGTTCGGCTGAGTCTTCTTATGTTTCGTGTGTGATGTTGACGATGACTCTACATGCCACCGGTGGGACAGAGGATCTGCAGTCCCTAGAGACCTTGCGTGAATGTCCGAATTTTGGAAAGGCCTGAAATTGTTCATCATTGTTCGTTCCACCTTGGCGAAAACCTGCGGGGCATCCTGCAAGCACAGATGCTCTGTACAGCATCGTCTGCAGAGCCTCTTATTCTTATGGTCGCTACCTAGGACTGTTGCGAACAGTTCTTCGGAAATGAATGCTCTCGCCAGCTTGTGCTGCTTTCAGACATCGGGTTGTAAAGCTCTTGCTGAATTGTTCGGCAGTTTCGGACCGCCTAACCCCGCACCTGACAGTAAACGTGCAAATTGAGCAACATTGCAAACAAAAACGGCTTCAAAATTGAAAAAAAAAACACACGCAGGCCACGTTTTTGAGCTTACGACGAAGTCGCATCAAAAAACCTACGACTAAAACTGCCGTCGGCTACACATAACGGAACACATGCGACAACGCGATAACCTCGGGCAGGACTGTGTTTCCGATACCATGGAGTGCCTGTGGTGAGCGACATGGGATGCAAAGGAGCGTAAACAACAACAAAAGCCACCCCTGCAACTGAACTTGCGAGGTAAAACCCTAAGATCAAAAAAATTGAATCGGAAGCATTAAATTTGCACAAATTTTGCAGCTCCAAAGTCTCACATCTCTTGTCTCTACCCCACGACACCCAAAGCCATATATCCTAAGCCTTAAACCCTAAAACTCTGCACAAAAAGCCCCGAAACTTGAAGCCTTTAATGTTGAGTTCAACAACAAGTTCCTCGCAAACGACGCATTATCCAAAATCTACCAAGTAAAGGTGCATTGCCCCTTTTGGTCGAAGCGCGAACTGCGCCCAACCACACACTGCCGCGAAAACCGGTGCTGGTACCGGGGCGGGCACTCCTGCGTCCCACCTCTCGTCCCTCACAAAGTTAGAAAGAGTTGGGTGGTGAGGGTGGGAAATCGAACAAGCGGTCGAACCGAATGCTTCAGTAGTTGTCGGCTCGAGTTGGTTCTTACGCGCACACGTGCGTTACACAACAAGTTCCACCCTTTCGGTCGAAGCGCGAAACGAAAAAATCGGCGCCGTTGCCGGGTGCACTTCTGCATCCGCCCTTGGCACACCCGCAGCCCCCACATCGCGCCGCCACCGTCTACCACAGCGCCAAGTCGAGAAGACTCTCAGGCATGGCAAGCGAAGTCCATGTCAACGGCCGCCTCACCAAGGACCAGCCTCACCGAGAGGGGCGTGGACCGTCGTCCCGCCTTCCGCCCAATCGCGGGAGGGGACGGTAGAAGTGCGAAGCCCACACCCGGTCGGAGCCTTCCACTCCCATCCTCAAATCCTGTAGCTGTTCTCCAAGCCCCAAGCCAAGCCTTATGCACACTGCACAGCCCTAAACCAAACTCTGAACCCTAGACTTTGGATTTTAAAACTTCCGAAACCCTCAACTCTACCTGAAAACCGAAACCCTTTCTTTTGCTGCAAGCGCAGGGTCCAAAAGGTTCCGTATGCACCGACCGCTTCAAGAGCACTTTCGGGTTTTACGGCTTGGTGTACGAACAACAGAAACCCAAAGTGCTCTATAACTGGCAATAGTTGAAACTCGGCGAAAAAGATGGGTATTGTCCACCAGTGTCCATCTAAACAGGAGACTGCAAGGAATGCTCCTGGCGCATTTGAATAGCAGTGGGGATGGAGAAAACTCATGATCAATTGAAGAATGAAGAGGTGCTGCATCTGACTGGAGCTTGTCGTTTCTTGTGGAGGTTTCAACCGGGCAAGATTCTGCCCAATGTGCTTTAGGTCTCCCAACTCTGTTAGGACCACGCAAATGGCGGTAGGCCGCCGATGGCATGAACGTAGCCTGAGACTCTAAGGATTCGGGATGTTTATACAGATGCCCAAGGAGATTGAGACGATTTTGCGAGTAGATCTGGGAGGTAGTGATGACTCTTCGGGATGGAAAAAGTCAGTTGTATGAGGTACTGATTAGAACGCTGAGCAGTAGAGGGATTCATGACCCGGCGGCAATAAGATGACTTGGTCTTGAAGACTTTTCATGTATAGAGTCCAGCTTTGTAAGCTGCGCTGGAGTGAGAAGAATACTGTCCATAGCGTACATAAGAATCGATTGGACCACTGCGCGATAAACCAACAGCTTCCAATTTGGAGGGAGCTGACTATGCTTGTAAGAGGAGCAAGCTTCTTTGACGCCTCCGCGGCACGTGGCACATAAGACTCTGGCTGAGACGTTCTTATGATTAGAGGAGCGAGGCCAGAGATGTATCTGACAGCATCCGAAAGGGGACTGATAGTCGTCGATTGGAGAAAGGAGTTACTGAGGGTCAAAACTAATGCAACTAGTAGACTTGAGGCATAAGTGTTCACACATACAAGTATCGAACTTGCCCCTACGGGCACCCTCCTGTTGCATCAAGTAGAGAAATCTGTGCCTAAATGGAGGAGTTGGATAGCAGGACTGTGTCGTCCGCGTATTCTAAGTCCCACAGGGAGGTAAGACTGCGGAGATAATGCAGTGATTGGCAATGTATTGCTTCTCCACTTCCTCGAAAAGATGGGTAAGGACGAAGCTGAATAAACAAGAGGACAACCTTGACGGAGGCGTCTAGTCTGGGTACTGCATGTCGAGATTGCTGGCCGTCCCTGACCGCTAAAGTAAGATTCTGATACAAAGCGGAGATAGGATAGCCTGCCGAATAGAAAGGGGACCTCCACTAAATTCGAGAGAGGCCTGTATGGCCGAGAAAGTAACCCAATCGAAGGCTTTTGCCCAGTCTAGAAAAATGGCGTGGAAAGATTCTGTTTGTTTTTCGTGCACCTCCGAAAGGCGACGCAATCCAAATTGAATTGGTCGGGTAACAGAGCGTCGCGATCTGAATCCGAATTGAGCGCGCCGCAGGCGGTGATCGAAATGGGAGGCAAGACGTTTTTGAAGAAGGGATGCCTAAATTTTACACATGGTATTGGTAACTGAAATCGAGCGATAGCTAAAAAGGAGCTTAGTATCTTACTGATATGTTTTGACTAGCATGACCACCTCTGAGTGTAGCCAACTGGCAGGAGCCTGACCACATTGGAGGCAATGGTGACAACCGTTTTCCCCGACGGGTACCCAAAAGAGCTACGACAGACGAACCCTTTCTTTTTGGATGGTTTGAAGCGCATTCGCGCCGGGTCCGTCGCAATCGCCAGTACGAGGCAAGCCGGCGCCGGGGGACGCTTTTAGCTGCCCCGGCCCGCTGCCCGCCAGCGAGCGACGACCCGAAGGTCTCCAAATGAAAAATCGCTCCCCCAATAAGGGCGGTGAGGGTGGGAGCTGAAAATCGTCGGGGGACGTGGAGCAGACAGCGGCTGCAGCATCCACGTCGATTCGACGGTTGTCCCTACGCACATAAATGTGCTACACGACAACCGTTTTCCCCGACGGGTACCCAAAAGAGCTACGACAGACGAACCCTTTCTTTTTGGATGGTTTGAAGCGCATTCGCGCCGGGTCCGTCGCAATCGCCAGTACGAGGCAAGCCGGCGCCGGGGGACGCTTTTAGCTGCCGCCCGGCGCTCCCCTCACCCACTCTGCGCCGGCTTAGCCCGCTCACACCGCCAGATTCAGTAGCTCGTCGGCGGCGTCATTCACCGCGAAGTCCAGGTCGGCGGCGGCCCGGGAGAGCACCTTGAGGATCGACTCGACGGGTGTGTGAACCCGCTCCCAGCCGGAGCTCTCCGCCGTGTGAAGGTCCCCTCTCGACACTGCGTCGGAGACGTTGGCCTTGGACGGCACCCGACGGAAGTCGGGGAGCCATTCCGACAGAGCCGCCGTGGACCAAAAGGCCGCCAAGACGCCGTTGACGGCGGGGTCCTTCCCGTACCCTTTGGTGAGTGCCCATTGGCCGGCGACGTTGTCGATGAAGGCCAGCCACCTCTGGGGCAACCGACGGGACAATGTGACCAGCGCCAGCACCTGGGCGACGATCTCGAGGACGTAGATAAACGCCCGACGGGAGGCGAAAATGTCCAGGAACTTGGCCGGCACCACGCCGCAGTCATAGAAGACGAGGGCGCCGATGCGGACGACGAAGCCCCAACCGTTCCGGCCTCGGGTCCCCGGCCGGATCCCGACTTCTGCCGGTATGTGCCCGGCTTTGTGTCTCACCTCGCCGGGCTGGTAGAAGGCGTCGGCGTAGATGATCGCCGCCGGTGCCCCGTCGTCTATGATGGGTACCCTCCTTGGCCGGATGTCTGCCAGCAGGGCCCGGAGAGACGTGAGGGCTGCCCGAAGGCCCGTCGACAGCGACGTGGCCGACGTGGCCGCCGCGTCGTGTGCCCTTGAATAGACGGGCTGAAGGGCTGCCTTCCCCAGGGCGCCGAAGGTCGACTGGGTGATGAAGTTGAGCTTGCCGGCCAGACGGTTCGCCACATCCGGCGTG